ACACTCCTTTTGTTTGTTGCACTCTTGTCTGCACCTGCACAACGACACGCACACCTCCCTCATAGTTTGTGACTATGTTGCTCTCCTCCCGTCTCTCAGAAAGAACTTCCGCCAGCTATTGTTCTATGCGTTGCCCTCCTAGGGCGGAGAGACGAGAGACACCACGACGGTCTCTGGAAGGAATGGAGGCGAAGTGAAGGTGAAATCACTGAAGAAGTATTTGTATCAATACTTCAAATAAAACATTGTGACCATACAGGAACAGAAAGTACGTTCATTTGTCAATGCTCCGAGCGGTACGTTGATTTATTTCTTTTTGACCTTAAGGTGTAGTTGCAGCATGAGAGCTGTAGATCCATCGCTTGGCAGACGAGACTCCGCAAGGCAATTTTATCAAGAAAAATAAATCTTCAAAAATGCGGAGCTACGTTACTTATTTCCATGGTCGTACCTAGTTCGACTCCAACACCATGCCGAAAGATCCCAGCCGGTCCCAGGGATCGATCGTCAAATTGCCACCGGGTCCGAGCAGTTGGAAGTGCAAGACGATTTGATCAAACCCCCCTTTCTCCAGCACCTCCGCGCCGAACAGCTCCTGCCGATTTTCGAACGTCACTCGTCCAGCTTTCGGGGTTTCGTTGAACAACAGCACGGATTTTACGACATTCGCACTCCCCAGTTCGCGCGCGAGCTGGAACCTCTGGTATTCCCGCTCAGCCGCCGCGCCAAAGTCCCAGTTCTCCGAGAAAAGGATCGACTGGTCGACACCACTGCCGCTTTGCGTTCCGTTCTGGTAGAGCGTATTGAAATGAAAAATACCCCCACCCCAGAACCAACTACTTGGCGGCATTTGCATTGCAAACCTTTCCAATAGAAACAACATTCCGCCACGTCTTGGTCTGCATATAATATCAGCATCACAAATTTTCCATGCTGAATAGCTCAAATTTGTATTGCAAAGAGCCCAGCAGCACCAGCCGGATCCCTTATGCAAAGATGCAAAAGATACCTTGCGCGCCTAGATTCTGCATCAGAAAGACTCGCAGTCCTTCCATGCAAGATAAAAAGTTGTTTTCTTTTGGAAACTTTGCATCAGAAACTTTTGCAAATCCTGGGGTGGGGGCATTTTTCATTGTAATAGAGCGCCGCCGCACTTCTTGTTGTCTCATCTTCTTCACGACGCCAAGGATTTTTGTCACCCTCAACATCGCCCGACCGAACGGCGGCGGGGTCAGAGACACTAGTACGGAAGTAGTTGTCGGGCAGAAGGTGCCACGACGTTGCGGTGGAAGCGGCCGCTATCAAGTACAAAAAATGTGTCGGGGTCTGGAAGATCATTGCCAGGTTTGTCTGACAAACCTGACAATGTCATGCATGTTTTGCATGACGACCCATGACGTCTCGTCTGTAATGCATGACCTAGCATCACAGATGTTTAGCGGGCTTCCTGATGCCAATTCCGCATCATGAGAAATGCCCTCGCCGCGTAGCACAGACGGGACTCCTCGACCTCTTGCTGGTCGTCATGCAATACAGATTTCTTTGAAATCCAAAGACAGCATCACAAGTTTCAACCTTCCAGACAACATCCAGGGATATTTTTTGCAGTTGATATGATCCCCGAAAGGAGAACGACGATCCTCGTGTTGTTCGAGCACTTCTGGTATGCCTTGCAAATATGCCTCGGTCTGGACACTTGTCTGTGATGCTGGCTGGAGAATCATGAAGACGACGTCTGGTCTCAACTGGCGGCCACGCATGACAAGTTTCTCAGCTGCTAGGTGTTGCCTGCTGTTCTGCATGGCAAACTGCGTTTCTGTGTGACAGAAAACTGTGAAGGATGCTTTTACTATAAGTAACGTGCATGACAGACTTGAGAATCATGCTGGCCGAGCATGACAAACTTTGCATTCTTCCAGATGACCAGACATATTTGCAATGCATATCTGCAGGAATATGTAAAAGCTCGTCGTTCCCTTGCGGTGTTTCCACGACATCAAAAGTCGAATTTTTCTTTCCATTGGAAAACGACTGTAGCTGCGAGCGCGACGGCACAACTGAACTAGTTGTACTAGATTGTTCCGGAAACCGGACCAGGCCAGAGGTATCTTGTGCAAGTAGACTGCGTGGCGTATTTGCATCTTCTGATGCAGCTGCAGGACCATCGGAGCTATAATTCGAAGCACCATCTTCACTCGTGAGCCACTCGGCAACTCTCCGCGCCTCCTTAATCTGCTTATCAAATGCAAAAGTGTCTGGGTCTGGAAGAATGCAAGTTTGTCATGCTTGTCTGGCATGAGTCGAGAATCTGTGTTGCATAGGTACGAAAGAGCCCCCTTAACTGTCATGCGAAAAGGCAGTTTGCCATGCGGAATACGTACTTAAGACATGGCAGCCACAAAATTTGTCATGCATAGCTGCGTAGTGCGGCGCGTCTATTATTCACTTTTAGCATTACAAGTTTCCAGACCCAGACATATTTGCAATCCATACTGCTGGTCGAGTGCAGATTCTTGGCTGGTGTCTGGGACGTTTGGATTTTCGAGTCCGTCATCACTATCTTCCACGTAGTCGCTCGTTTCTTCCGCAGTAGCAGTGCCTCCACCTAGTGGCGCAGCTGCTCCGTCAAGGTGCCTTAAATCACCCTCGTTTTTATGCCACTCGTACGGCAGCCGCAGCTGTTCCGGGACCTGGCAGGGTTGGTCGTAGACCATGAGGTTCAGCTGCAGGTGCAGGGTACTGCGCTGCTCATCGAGAAAACCTCCGTAGTCGACAAAGGGCTCAAACGCCTGCGTGTCGTTGTTCCAGACGGTGGCGTAGAGATACAGCCGATATCAAAGTGAAAGAAGCCCCCGCCCCATATTCATCAAAAGACATAGACAATTTGTGTCGCTGGATTTGTGTACACAGATGAACTTTGTATTGCAGCAAGAGCCTGTCGGCATAATATTCTAAGCCCATTTGGGTACTACGCATCCGGCTAGCAGCTGTGAGCATGAGAAACAACTCTAGAAAAGGCGAAAACGCATGACAGACTCGCTGCACCATGCGCCACACCGGTGCCGTTTGCCTTGTACGCAAGACGAAGCTGATTTGTGGTCACAAATCAGCATCGCAAATTTTCTTTTCGATAAGGGGAGGGGGGTGGATTTTCCTTACGATAGCCGAAATAACCGGCTACTTTTATCTTGTTCTTCGCCGCCGAAAAAGGTTGCAGACAATGACGCCGCGTTTTCTTCGTCTTATTCTGTGCAAAAGTATCGCACTCGTAGTAAGTGCAATCATGCATTTTCCTTTGGTAAATCAGCATTACAAGATTTATTTCTCATGCTGAGGAAATTTGTAATGCATTTATACGAGTACGATACTTTTGCAGTTCATACATCTTCCTGAGCCACGATATCGAAACTCTTCGACACATCCACAAAACTCCCCACACTCACTATCCTGAGTAAAAACGTACCCACACCAGAGTCAAGATGGGGAATCGGCTAGACAAATCCTGGATTTGTCTAGGGGAGACAGCCAAAACTGGGGAGACAGCCAAAACTTGTGGATTATCCACAAGTTTTGGCTGTTTTGCATGACAAATTTGGATTCGTAGTGTAGTGCTGTTTGAGCTAGCTCAGCAGCATCAGAGATCTATCATACCATGCTGATTGGAGCATGACAAATTGCAAAACACGACTAGAAAATGCTTCTCATGGAGCTCCAAATGAGAAACATTTTCAGCATGCAGATTTGCATTACAACTCTGGTGTGGGTACGTTTTTACTCAGGATACTCACCGCGCCGGGGCACCAACCGTTGCGGCTTTCCCACCAGGTCCCGCCCTGCGTCGCGCCGTTGGGGTTCCACTTGCAGTCTTCGCGCCACTGGCGGACGGTGTAGGAAGTGTTCCTGTGATCTTCATTCTGCGGAATTGTTTCTGTGTCTTGTACGACCGCCCCCTCGACTAGTATGAAATGTAAAAGCATCGCACTCGCAGTAATCAACACAGGAGTCGTGCATAGTCATACAAATCTACTCGGCGCACTTGAGCCAAATCCGCATTACAGATGATTTCGTGTCTCATGCTGACGTCGAAATGTACTATTGTCATCCCATGTATTCTACGTGGTAGTACGATACTTTTGCGAAAATGCATAGCGACGGGCTCGAAGCGGAACCGGTACTGCACTTTGCAGTACTCGCCGCACTGCAGACTGGTCTTCTCTATCCCAGAGAAAAAAGCAGGCAGGGCATACGTGTAATGCAAAATCAAATACACAGAAAAAACTGTCATGGGCGGCCCCATAGCATGCTGTTTAGGATATGCAATACAGATTTTTTTGTGTATTTAGTTTTGCATTACAAATGTGACCTGCCGACTTTTTTCTGTGTGATATTCTCCCACCCGTGCCCGGTGGCGACCAGGTGCGCGACAAATGTCCTGTTTTTGGCAGCAGAAGTTCTTGGCTGCTTTTCATCATCGTCAGAAGTGAACGCGGAGAGCAGCGAGCTGCCGCTGGTTTCGTTCTCCTGGTTTTGTTCTACGGACGGAATCACAAAGTCTGCGGTGGCAAAGGGGAGAAGGAGTTCATTTTCGCCTGTAATGATATCATCCTTTCGCATTGATACGGGCACGGGAAGCTGCAAAAGGCAGACGCGGTGCATTTTTTCCTGCTCGTCAACATGATTGTCAACGTCATCATTGGCCGCACTGCAGTTTGTGTTTTCATTCGTATTTTCATTTTGCACGACTATCTGGAAATTATAAAGTCCCTCCTTCGTGTCTTCGTCCAGGTACCCTTCATTCCGCACCAGCGTGCCCAGTTTCGACCTTGCAGCCTCCAGCCACAGGGGTTCGTCGCGCAGACGTCGGATCTTGGATCGCAAATGCTCCACGAGGTACGTGCTGTTCTCACCAGTTTGACTGCTAGCGCTATCGTCCCCGGTGTCGTCCAGACGTCCTGTCACGGCGTTGGGCGACGTTTCAGCTTCATCTTCTTGCTGCCCAACACTACTGCTCCCCTCGACTGTGCAGGAGATATTGACAGCGTTCCTCTCGATAATATCCTGTGCAAAAAAGTCCCCACCCCAGAGCCAAGATGTGGATCGCGCAAGACAAATCCAGAACTCTAAGGAGTCACGCATGACAGGTCCCTCTCCGTATTGTAGTGCAGTTTAGGAGGTGCAGCCGCACCGCAAAGCCATCTGCTTATCCTGTTTACATACAGCACTACAAATTCCAAAAGTCAATTGGAAATGCCACTCATCATGGGGATGCGCATTACAAATCTTCCTGTAACTGCAAATCTGCACGCCAAGAACTCAACTCTGGGGTGGGGACGTCTTAAACTCAGGATACTCGACTTCTACACCGAGCAGCGCGGAGTCGTTTTTCGCGTATGGCGCTCTCAAACGTTACATTCTCAACTGTTACATGGATTTGTCATGCAAAAGTGCCTTCAGCCGCCAGATGATCGAGCTGCTTCGCATGACAAATGTCGGAAGTGCTAAACAGCATCTAAATCTGCGCCAAACTTGTAATGCAAAAGGCGCAATCTTCCTCCTTTCACTTTTGCCAGTCTTGCATGACAAATTCATGTAACAGTTGAGAATGTAACAGTTGAGAACGCCATATCGCGTCCGCCATCATTTTGCTCACGTAGTCCACCGCGTATTCTGAGTAAAAACGTCCCCACCCCAGCGCTGTCATGCAAATCTGCATGCAAAAAAAGTTTCTCATGCGGAGCGCCATAGGAGGCATTGTCTGGCCGTGTTTTGGAATTTGTGATGCTATAATCAGAATGATATACTAGATCTGTCATCCTGCTGAACTACCTAAAGAGGATTACACTACGAGGACAAACTTGTCATGCCAAACGACCAAAGCTGGCTGATTTGTCTAGCGGATTTCCCATCTTGACTCTGGTCGTGCGGGGACGCTTTTACAAATGATACCGCGTCGCGCATGTTCACGGCCATCATCAAATTCGGAAACAGGCTTTCCTCCACCTGCAGTGCCTGTCCCCCCTCGCCGGGTCCGCCTCGGGTGGCGGGCACACAACTTTCGTCAACGTCTTCATTCAGCTGGACCTCGGCAAAAACGGAGATTAGTTTATTGTTTCCGTCCTCGTCTTGCTCATTCTGTTCATCCGGGGAAAGATCTTTTTCGTCCACTTCCGCCAAGTTTGTTGTCGTGTTCTGGGTTGCAACTTCTTCTACAGTATCGTTTTTCATCAGCTCACGAACTTCTACTTCCCGTAAACTGCGCAAGTCGATGGAGCCGATCGGGGTGAGTGGGGTACTCATGTTCCACCAAAAACGCAAGCCGAAGTCCTCCTCCTCCCCCGTGGGCATCTCCGTGTCGGTGACCAGGCGGTTAAAAAACACCGGCAGAGCAGTCGTGGATGGACTTTTGCTGTCAGTCTCATTGTTCCGGGTGGTGATGCTGCTGCTGCTGTTCAAGAGCTGGCTAAGCAACCGGAGGGGCAACTGCGCAGTCACTTGGACGACCCGGCTAGAAGGAGGTATTGTGCCGGCGGCGGATGCTGCTGTCACGTTGTTGTTCATCTTCTCATCTGGTTGCGCCACGACCGCGGGATCGTAAACACTTCCGGCCGCGTTTGAAGACGTCGACAAGAAGCTCGTAGCTGCCCCCGCCCCGACACTTGTGTCCTCAAGAGCTGCTGCACGACTTCCTGTGAGGCCCATTTTAATGTTTCCACTAGTCGCGGTCAGCGGCACCAGCGCCAGCGGGGCCTTTTCTTCGAACAGGTAGCTCGCGACGGCGGTCTCGGCCTGGATGCGTTCTGTCACCGTCGGCTGCTCCAAGGAGCTGCGGAGCTCGTGCAGCTGTTTCAGCTGGCGCAGCTGTTCCCGGAAGGGGTCCATCCCGTCGGGGCAAGAGTGCACAGAAATACTGGAGGTTGTGGCATTATAGCCGTCCAGAAACTGCTGTAGAGAAGTCCTCGCTTGTGTTCTTGCGGCCTCATCGTGATCTTTAGTACTACTTGCACCACTATCACTTATCGTGGCGCCGTTAGCCGGCGCTGCACCACCGCTGATGTCGTGTCCTCCTGCCGTGGTGCCCAAGACAACCACGCGGCCGGTGCTTGTCACGTTCGCCTCCGCGCTGGTAATTTTCCCAAACGCCCGTCCCCGGTGCTCGGAGAGAACCGGAATGAAGGTGGTGGGGCGCAAAGCAGAGCAAAGCGGCTGCTCCTGTTGTACTTTCGACGCGGAGGTGGTCCGCCGGCCGAACGAAAGGGCGGCGAGTGGCTTCTGGTCCAGCACAAGCTTCGGCTCAAATTTTTCATGGTCTGCGAGTTTTGAAAACCCGCTGCTCATGTGGTCCTCGATGTTCCTTTTCCTCTTGTTTCTCTGCGAATTCGATACCGCAGAGGCAAGGGCAACCTCAGAATCTTCAATGGAGGTGCTGGAGGACCTGTAGTTTCCATTTTTACTTTTCTGCGTGGAAGGTACTAATACACCGCTGGTACCTCTTCTATTGCGCCTCAATTTCATCTTCTCCAACAATGTTGCAGCCGTAGCTATTGTTCCTTGTGGTCGTGGTCGTGGTCGTGGTCGTGGTCGTGGTCGTGGTCCCTCTATCGTTTTTTCTTCTTCGGCTTGCTGGTCAACAACTTCATCTTGCGAAACATCAACAACAGCAGGCGCGCGTGCTTCCGTCCTCGTTGTCGTTCCAGCAGTTGTACTCCTGGTCGTGTCGTGCTTGTCTAGAGCTTTAACACCCGTTAGCATGAGAAGTGGCGAATTTGTAGTGAATTTTGCATGACAAATTGCAGATGAGTCCGCCGGGACATTGTCCCTCTTGGCCTTCTGGGAAGTGGGTTCTGCACACCGCAGAAGTCAAGGCTTATGCGGCGGGCAGCTTCTAGACATGGCCTGGGTGCCGTTCTTTGGCCATGTCTATTCGTCTCCCTGTGCTCGCATAAGAGCACTGCAGCAGCCGCGGCAAAGACGCCAAAAAGAAAGTGCTGCGAAGCAAAAGCAATTAGGCAAGAAGGCGCGAAGGCAAGAGTGAAACGACCAGGCCGGGAGCTTTGACGCGTCTATCCGGCAGGCGTGTGAACTCTCCCGGCCTTTTCGGCAGAATATAGACGGGCTGAGGGCAGCAGAGGGCGCTTGTCTTTTCCCCTCGGCCCCACTTCCCAGGGCCTATTTGCGGACTTCCTTGAGCACTTTTCTGCGCTGAATTTTGCTTATCACGGTCGAAAAGGGGCGCCCGGTGAATTTTGGGGTGAATTTTGAAAAGGGCGGGAGTGAATTTTGGCCTGCGGTCCCTGCTCAAAATTCGCTAGCGCATGAGAAACTCCGGGTTTTGGAGCTCCAGAAAAGTTTAACAAAAAGAAAAAGCCTCAAAATTCACCAGGAGAATTTCTGACCTGGGGATCACGTCGAAGAAGACTAGAGGACCCGAACAAGATGAGGCAGGAACACAACTGGAGAGATGCGAGCTACAGAGCAAAGCAGGCGATGCAAGCATCCATTGCAACATGCCTCCAGAGGACATCCAAGCCGAGCCAGCCGCAACCCGTGAGAGCTACCCATTTAGATGTTGACCCAGTGCCCCTCTCCTGTTGAGGCTTCGGCCCCCTCCCTCTCGACCCCCTATGGACTCCGCAGAGGCAGTGTTGTATTGTGAGATCGCCACAGGCCGCCTTTGCTTCTTGGCAACGCACCAGGCAGCAAAGACGTGCGTCTCTACTTTAGGCTCTGACAGTGAGCGTCACCATCCAAATGGCACCAGGCAAGTGCTAGCCTTTCAACTACACGGAACGCTGACTGCCTGGTGTCCTCCTCGTGTTCTTCATATGCCCCTTAATTCATAATTCATGCATCATGCCACGCAATACAAATTCACTGCAAATTCACCCTTCTGTATGCTAACGCGTGCCTTCGTCCTCGTTGTCGTTCCAGCAGTTGTACTCCTGGTCGTGGCGTACTTGTTGGCCGCTACCTGGTTCAAGAAGTCGACTGCTGGCGATGGCGAAAGGACATTCCTTATCCTTCCCGCTGACTTCTGCACTAAAATCGCCGCTTCCTCGTCTCCACCGGGCGCGGCGTGTTGCGGTCGTATTGAAGGCGGCAGCAAGGCACCGTCTTCCTGGAGTTGTTCATTCATCTTCCACTTGTTACTCGCTGGAGGAGGAGGCACATCGTCCAGCACGTGAAATCCGTCGACTCGCTGCGCGTTTTCCGGTTTATAATTTTCCCGCCGGAGCCTTGTATAGTGTTGAGCTCCTACATCGGGTCGCTCCACAGATTGAAGATGTGGTCCTGCTCGCGGCGGCGACCGCGCCTCTACTTCGGTCTTTTCTGCAACCGATATGCCCTGTTCGGAAGTTGTAGTAGATGATGTAGATGAAAAAGCGATTGCGGCATTGATGTGATCATGTTCACCACCGCCTTCCACTTCCTCTTCGGGCCTCTTCCGGCGCTTCAGAAACAGCAGCTCCGCGGAAAAGCGAAAGCCGTTCGGGTCGGTTTGGTTTTGCAGCCCGCGGCACACGCCCGTGCTGGCGTTTTGGTACATCACCGTCCTGGAGTTCAGGTTCGCGGTTGTGTTCCAGATGAAAGAGCCCGTGTCCCCGTAGAATGTAATGGGAGTGTTCTTGATGTATGCAATGCAAAAGCATCGTTTGCGTTTCGTAGTTGTAGTATAAATTGCATTACAGATTCGCCCAGCATTTTTGCAAATCAAATTTGTAGTGCGGATTTACCTTGAGAAAAAAATTTGCAATGCATGATTGCAATCACTACGAGTGCGATACTTTATTTGCACAGGATATGATGTTCTCGCCGACGACGTCCTGTCGTTCATTCGCGCCCGTAGCTGACTCGGAGTTGTTCATCTGCTCGCCGGCACTAGTAGTAGTTGGAAGCAGCAGCGGGGCGAAGTGCGTCACGTCCACCAGCGTGTTCATTGGGGCCCCGTACGGCGTCACAAATCGCAGCATCTCCACTTCGGAGGATTTTTTTGTACTCCGGCCCTCCTCGCGGCGAGCAGAAGCAGAAGCAGCAGCTTCATGATTTTTATTATCGAGGGCAGACGACTGCACGAGCAACCGAGGCGCAGCTAGTTCAGCTTTAGCTGCTGATGTTGTCCTCGTCCAGTGCGGAGTAGATGATGTTTCTTTTTGGTAGTTCGTCGCGAAATTATAAAGCACGCTAGCGTCGAAGGGCACGTCCGCATGAATTTGAAGCTGATTTGTATCCTCGTTAATAGTACCTGTTCCGTGAAAAGGCAAAGTTGTGGCCTCCACGCGGCGTTGGCCGGAGAAATGCGCGAACACGGCGTGACGAGGACCTGCTGAATGTCGCGGACTGACCGTCTCCTGCGAGTGTGCGTTTTTAGCCGGTCGCCGTCCCTGCGACGAGGACGAGGACAACTCCTCGGCGAGTCGCCTCTCAAGATGACCCCGCTCCTGGTGCTCCTCTTGTTCTTGACCTGCAGCTCTACTATCATGGCGACCTCCGACTGTAATTTGCTTGGCAGAGTGGAGTAGGCCTTGAACCACAACCACAACGCCGCTGGTCGTCGTGAACAGGAGCAGGAACAGCGACGTCGGCAGATGATGTCGCGTCATTGCTACTTTGTCTGAAGAGAAAGATGAAATCAACACAGCCCCAACAACACCTCCATGACCCTGATGCAGTGGTGCCACAAAATAGCGGCCTGCTCACTGTATCGTATACCTTGGCCCAAATTATGCTGGGTACCACGGGACGTGACGACGCTCAAAATTTCTTTTTCTCTCCTCAGACGAGTACATTTACAGCAAAGCATTTGTCCAATTTTTTCCTCTCCTCGTGGCCGATGTTGTAATCGAACCGGTCAAAGATAAAGAACCGTTTCAACAAACGGTCATTGCTCGTTACTCTCACTGCTCAACGAGAGCAACATCAATAGACTGTGCTTGCACAAGCACAGTGCTATGCCGTATCATCCACCTCCGCGTAGTGGTGAACAGAGCAGGAACTAGATGAGAAATAAATCCGACGAGCGGATGGTCGTGCAGACAAATCCGAATACGGATGTAGTTTCGGATACTGCAGCTTGCGCGGTGGTATGAAGAAGTGGAGATTTTATTTTCCTATCCATTCAGTCTGTTTTTTCGAATGAAGAAACCTCCTGCAGCCGGTGCGCATGCGCAAGATGAACCTCCTGGCAAAGTAGTCGCACACGGTTGTACATGTTCTACTAGCACAGGCTCCGCCAACAGTATACAGTTTTCAAAAGTAAAGCGCCGTGCAACTTCCTCAACTGTAACAAACGAAAAGCATACGTAGCTACTTACTTTCTCGAGGAAACAACAACAGTTTCCCCTTCCCTACTCCACCGCCATTTCGTCCTCCGAAAAATCCTCCTCTTCTTCCTCCTCCTCCTCCGCATCTTCCAGTGCATCGTAATCGGCCACCCCCAGCAAGTTATTCGGGTTGAAATCATCCGAAAACACCCAGCCTGCGTCCGGGTCCCCGAAACCACCGCCAGCACCGCCCATGATGTTATCCTCGTCTTCGCTGTCGCAGTCCGGGTCGGGGTGGAGTAAGACCATCTCGCTCATGGCGTCAAACAAAACCTGCACGTCCGCCTCCGGCACCACGAACCTGATTTCTGTGGTCTGAAATTGGTCGGCTTCGTCGTCATCATCATCGTCTACCATCTCTTGATCCTCGGTTGGTGAGGAGTCGGTTGTGTGGTTTTTTGGGTCGTTATTTGCTGATTCTACTCCAATCATGCTCTTATTCCCCCCGCCGTCGCTGCGCACTTGGCAATAGAGACCTGGTTGTTTTCAAAGGTTAAGGTTGCAGGAGATGGAGTCGTGAATAAAATAGAAATTCGGCTCCTGCGTCACAGACTGACTTAAAGCACCGATCACAATTCATCACGAGGACGACGAACTAGTACTAGCGTGCAAGACGACGAAAAGGAAAAATAGCAAAAGTGAAGTAAAAAAAGGCGTAAGCAAGTACATGGCTTCGGGAACGCCTGCGGATCCCTGCTGATGGCGTGCAGCATGACGCTGGGGTAATCCAGCAAAATCCTCTGGTCGCCGGTTTGGAAGATGATTTTCGACGTTGTCAGGTACAGATCCCCGGTAGTTGTAGTTTTTGAGCCTGAAGTAGAACTGGAGGTCCTCTGCTCCGAGCTTGTAGTTGTCTTGCTCTTGCTCGCCTCACCGTTCTTGCCAGCGTCCTCCGCCGTGGATTCTTGTAGTTCTTCTACTGATGTTGAACAACTACCCTCACCCACTACCAATTCGCAATGCTCGGCCTTGAAGGCGATTTTTTCGTCCTCATTCAGGGTATTCTCCACCTTCACGTTCTCGGCGTTGTTCTTCGAAATTTCGGCCAAAGACTGGTACACGAGCGGCATTTTGCTTGTGATGTAGTTCGTTCTTGGGCTACTACTTGGTATCGAGGTTTCTAGTTCTACAGACTGGAACTCTCTACTGTTGTACTGACTCAACAAAGTTGCAAAAGATAAAGTCAGTCTGAAATTTATTTTTGCGTCTGAAACTGATTGTTTATTGCAATCCTGTCGCATAATTGAAATAAAAACGGAAATAATCATATTCAAGTACCAGCACCGATATGGATCCTTGTGGTCGGCAACTTCGTCAGAAAGCCAAATATTTCCAATTCAGATCATTAGATCATCCTCAGCTGCAATTGGTACGCTTTTTTGATCGTGATCCTTTTGCTTTCTTTTTTCTTTATTTGCAGTTTTTATTTTGCGTTTTGCACCTTGTCTTGTTGGCACTGGACGAAGAGCTTAGCCAAGATTTTTAAGTGGATCTCATGATAGGTTCATCTGGATCCTTGACATTGTCGGGCATCCCTGGCAGCAGCATCCATCAGATCGCATCTTCTAGACAAAAAAGTCAAGCTTCTAGTTCTACTGCGACGGTGACTTGATGACATAGTGGAAGAGCGCACCCACTGCATCATCTGGTTCAGCTTCCATTCGCCGCAGGCAGTGGCGTAGTTTTTCAGGAAGACAATTGAAAGGGCTTTCAATTGCGGTACAGATTTCTTGAAATCAAGTGGTGGTCGCTGTTGTAGATGTAGTCCGGAGCTGTTCTTGTGCTGGATTTTCATATAACATTGCAAGATCTGGATCGTTCGATGCGGTTTGTAAAATGAGTTTTAGGTTTAGCGGTCGAAGATTGTTGTTTGTAGATAAGCGCTAGGAAGTGTACGGTGTGGTTAAAGAAGTACAGCACAACTCATCTAGCAGGTGGTCAATACAAAGACAATGACAAGAATAAAGCAGGGGTGCATTTTGATGTAAATAATTCCGGAGTCGATTCTTTCGCGAAAGCGAGAGAGCCCACGGTATCAGCCAGATCGAGAGAGTAGAGGTAGACAGTAGAAAATTAGTAGTGTGCGGCTCCACACGCGGGGCCGTCTCTGGAGGTAGTAGATACTCATATTACTGTAAAGCTTAAATTAAAATTCAAGTATATCTTGTTTCTCAAGTAGTAGATGAAGCACTTTTCATTTATTCTCATTTCGATACTTTACCGTTGACCACTCCGTTCTTTTTTACTATCTTTTTGTAATAGCTGCAAGAACCGACGCCTTACGAAAGCAAGTGGCACTGATACTTGCGTCCTCTATGTGTGCTCCATGTTTAGATGCGCTCATTCGCATTCTGCATTTTAAATTTTTATCTTTCATATATTTTCTTTGCCTGTTGAGCTGTCACTAGTGCTATGATGTTGTTCTCAAATATCTGTAGTACTGAAAATGCAAAATTAGCGATCGATGTTGATTCCATACTACATCCCCCTAAATCTAGAAAGGCGGGTGTCGTGCCAGGGGTCTGCGAGTTTGGTCGTGGGACTCTTGGGGAAAAATGCCGTCTTTTGTCACTCCCTGTCCCCCGCGCCGCCACGTCGTTTCCCCCGGCCTTGCCGGTTCGGGGAACAGAGCCCGCCGCAAGCCCGCGGAGCCGCCCGGGGAGAAGTAGCGTTCGACATCTGGCGAGGGCGTAACAACGGACTCGGGCAGGAGCTTGTCCGGTGCGAACGCAACAACACTGCTGGAGGCAGTATCGGCCGTGTAGGGTCTGGAAAGAAATGTGTTGCTACTCCCCGCCGACTGCGGCCGTCGTGGCCTGTTCTGCGTCCCGCCACCAGGCGAAGCGTGCTGCACCGTGACGGGCCGCTGTGGATGCTCCCGGGCGGTCAGTGGCGGATGGGGCACGACCAAGCCCAAGGGGCCAAATGGGTTCGGCACGATCCGGTCACCGATCGGGAAGCTGCCCGTCGTCTGTAGTGGGAAGGTAGACGTTGTCGAGGACGACGACGCTCCTCCTCCGGACGGGCGCGCAGGTGCAGCCACCGCCGCCGGCACTTCTACATGATCCATAACAGCAGCAGCAGCAGCAGCAGCGCCGGTTGCTGTTGTAGCAACACCTGGCCCACCAGTCGTTTTACTCAGCGCCCGAATTATTGTGGCCTTCGCAACGTCCCGGTTGGAAATAGTAGCCATTTTATTGCTGGCGGCGTTTGAATATCCAGTGCAGAAGTATCGTACTCGTATAAATGCAAGTGTTGCATTACAAATCTTGTTCCCAAGGTAAATCTGCATTACAGATTTTATTTATTTCCCATGCTGAGGAAATGCATTTATACGAGTACGATACTTTTGCAATTCATATTGAAGGTGTCAACTTCTTCTCTGTCGGTTCGCCGATGTCCCTCGTTCTTCTTGGCGACGAAACCAATTCGACTATGGGAGTGTCAGGATCGAAATCGTCAAAGTTGAAACACAAACAGTTTGTCATGCATAAAATGGATACCACTTGGGCCTCCAATTACGAAGCGGCGCACGACAACCTGCCATGCTGTTTGGAGCAGAGAAGGCTGCGTTTGCCATGCTCCTTGGCAGCTCAACTCTACCCCTACAAAGGCTTACAATCAGCCTCACTTGCCATCCTCGCAAGGCAGGCACTTTGTGCTTCGCATTTTATGCATCACAAATCATATTCAACTTTGTCGATTTCGATCCTGAAACTCCCATATCGACCTGATCCTGGGTACACGCCTGTCGCCCGAAGCCCGCCCCCATGGTTTCGATGCTGTACATTCCGTGGGCCGGGGAAGCCGTGTGCGTCATCACGGATTGCGACTTGTCGCACGGCACGGCGTGCGCGGCCAGCACGGTTTGCATGATGGGCACACCGCTGCACTTCCCCCGCGGCTCCCCGCGGTACACGCATTCGTCTTCGTAAAACGGAGCGGGGGGCCGGGCGGTGGTCGTGGTGGCGGGAGCAGGTGCACTAATATCACCTCCAACATGTACGCGGTTTGTTGTTCTCGCTCCAGCCCCCGGACTGCTCAGGCGATGTTGCATTTCGGCGGAGATTGCAGAATAGGGGGATCGAATCCTGGTTGTCCAGCGGTGCAGACTGGTAGAACTGTTTGTTTTATTCAAGCGTTCTTTTTGTTTTTTTTATTCAAGTATTAATCTTCTGGCGTTCTTGTAAGCTTTATGCATCAATTATCAAACTCTATTACCGTGCGCTCCAGGGCTGCTGCTCCTTTGGCGACGGAGCCGGACCGCGACTGGAGGAACTCCCCGGCAACCCCGAGGGTACCCTGCTAGTAGTACCCAGCACCACCTGATGCGCCGCCGCTCCTCCTCCTGCACGCACCACTGCACTGGAAGCGACACCCGGAGAGGTGTCTGGGCGTCTTTGCTTCGTGATAACGCCGGTTTGGTTCGGGGGCAACGTCGGCAGCCTGGGATATCCAGGAAAAAAAGTGTGTAAGTGTAACTTTCTTTGAGAAACAGCATCACAAATTTGCTCTACATGACAGAGAAAACCTGTCATGCGTGGCTTGTAAGGGAAAACACACATGAAAAGAGGACTTCATGGCTGTCTGGCATGATAGGCGTGAGTCTGTTGCATGTTCTGCAACACAAATTTACTTTTACACTTACACGGTTTTTCTCTTGCATATGGGAGAAACAGACTCCACTAAAACGTCGTCTTTCACCCGCTGCTGCGATATGGCATTCTCAAGCGTTAGCGTTACACCACTCTCAGCTGTTACATGATTTTCCATGCAAAACTACCATCAACATGAACATCCACACGGCGAAGCTGCTGCGCACGACAAATTTTTAAAGGGCTAAACAGTATTGAAATCTGCGCGAATTTGTAGTGCTAGAGGCGCAATCTCTGTGCCCTTTGACTTTTCCAATTCTTGCATTGCAAATTCATGTAACAGCTGAGAATGTAACGTTTGAGAACGCTATACGCGACGCGGTTGTGGTCGGTCGCCGGTTTGCGGCCGAGGAAGAACCTCCCTGTCGACCGCGTTGCTGGCAGGAACCCCCGGAAACATCGGTCCTGCAGCTCCGACTGTCAACACCAATATCTTTGTTTCTATTTTCCGGCGGCCGTGGGAAGCCGATGCTTGCGGAAACTATTTTTGCCACAGAGGGGGGCACAGTAGGTGTAGGAGCTGCACCAGCTGCAACCGGCCCGGTGCAAGAATTTGAGTCGACAGCATTTTGGAACTGCTCAGTGGTCCTGGCGGAGGTTGGGGGACTGGCCGCGGTGGCGACAGTGAAGGTGCTGGAACTGAAATAGTAGGAAGCGATGGCAGCGTAGTAGAACCAAGCCGACGCCGAGCGGAGTGAAACATTAATGTTTCTGAAGAGAGATGAGGGCGACGTCATGGTATTGTGTTGCCCGTCCATTCTGATCTTTTTTGCCAATCGAAACATGTCAAATCGATATCGAAGCCGTCACCGGCATGAGTGAGTTGTGATCGGGGTTTTTTATAGAAGTCAAATTAATAGAAGGGATCTAAATCGTAAAATCTAAATCGCTGAAGTAGAGGCCTTGGAAAATAAATCAACACAGGTGAACAAACGCAAGCGGCTTGCTAGCATTCGAAGATGATTGCGGACAGGAGATGTCTTTAATCTATCATGTGAATGTGTTCGCCTGCAACATGAATGCCCTTGAGATGCTCAATTATACATAGAGAAACCACGCAAGCGTGAGATGCTGCTCAATAGAGAAACTCAAACGGCTTTTCCAACGGACCCGGCGTCAGACCGAATGCATCGGAATGTAAGTAGACAGATTTATCTGGGATCTTCATCTTCTGGTATGCTCTGCCGAGCGGGTAAAAAAAGTAAAACGGGACGACAGCTCCAAAAAATCTTGTACGCACGAGAGGCCTTTTTTTCCGTTAAGTTCTTGCACCACATCTTCTTCTTCGGCAACAATTCCATAGTACACGACTTCAACCTGTGGGGGCGAGTCAACAAGGTTCACTTCACGTACATCAGGAACCGCTTTTTCACGCCGTGATGTGCGTTTTTTTTTACTTAGTGCGGGCGTCTGAAAATAAATGTGCGTCGTCTTGTCCTTCTTCGGCTTTTCGTTTTCCATCTTGTTCAAATCTTGGGGGGCGGATCAACATGAAAAAAGAAAAGCAGCCTTCTGCTGCAGCTGCTGCTCATTCCTGCCTTGTAGCACTGCTGTCACTTCTACACCAAGAACTCATTGAGCGCTTTGCTCCACACCACATCGGCCGCTACGTGCTCCAGGAGAGTCGCCTTGGGCACTTCCCTCGCTACTACTTTTTGCGTCAAAGCCAATATGTGCTGCTCGAAAAAGGGCTGGCCGCTGGTAACGCCGGCAAGGGCGAGTACGCCCCGCTCCAAAAGCTCCAAATCCCGGCAGAGCCGCTTTCGCCCGGCGTCCGTGCTGAGGCACGCGTTTTGGATGTCCGTGGCGATACCTGGGACGAGTGCCACGGCTTGTTGCCGCGCAGCGGCTTCGTCGGAAAGAGTGTGAGTAGAAGTCCCGCCGTTGGGTTGTTGTACTATTTGCTCTACTACTGCTCCGGAAGTAGAAGTTGCACCTGTTGAGGAACTATTGTTGTAAAAGGCGACAACTTTCCCGTCGTCGTAAAATGTGCCCAGGAACAGGCGCAAGAGCGCCACGCGCACCAAATCGCCCGCGAATTGCACCGCCAGCGATTGCAGCAATTGCGTATTGTAGGCGGCCAGGTAGGTTTTCTGCACGGAATGGGCGTAGGTGACAAACTCCTGCAGGCTGGGGCTAGGAAGAGCTGCTACATCCGGTGCAACAGCACCCCCGGTATTGAGCAGCTCCTGCCGCCATTTCGCGTAGTATTCCTGGGAGAATTTGATCCGGACCGTTTGTATGCATTGCAAATATAATGTCTGGGTCGGGAAACTTGTGATGCTAATTTGCGAATGGTGGGCGCACTGCAATATGCATCCCAGCATGACAAGTTTTTTGTGCTGCTAGCTGTGTGCTTCGTTTCTCGCATGACAAGCTGCGTTTTTGCATCACAGGCAAGGGGCCCTTTTCCTGCTCATGCATCACAGATTTGAGAGTCATGCTAGACAAGCATGACAAACTTGCTTTCTTCCAGACTCAGACATATTTGCATTTGATAATTTGGAAAAAGCACTCCACAAACGACCGGCACGTCGTGCGGAGGTGTTGCCACAGTTGTGGCGGTAGGTTCTGTCCCAGGCACATCTCCCGCAGACTGGCATCGAACGCGGACAGCAGTTGGAAGAGCCGGCAGTTCCTCTGGTGGCTGTTGGTAAACGTGAACTCGTTCCCGGTGGGGTTCGCCTGGAAATTGGTCACCACCATCATCCCGTTCGCGTCGGTCAACAGCTCCAGCCGCGAGACAAACAGCAGCACGCTCGTGCGCACGTTGTTCACGACCGATAGATACACAAACTGCAGGCCCTGCTCTGCGGTCTTCAGGGCCTCCGCGAGAATCTGGACGTAGCGCTTGACGTCGGCCAAGGTCGGCAGCGGGTCCTGCAACAGGTGCGGCTGCGGGGTCATGCCCGCGTTGGCCTGCGCCACCGCGTCCATGGCGCTGTTCAGAACCGTATGCATTGCAAATGCGTCTGGGTGTGGAAGAGTCTGAGACTTGTCATGCAGTTTCTCCAAGCTCCGCCAAGTCTGGAATGCAGGGCCTAGCATCACAGGTTCTGCTTCTGCAGCCCCTTGGTGATGCCTATTCTGCATGAGAAACGCCCTCTCAACATGACTAATGGGGACCTTTTGCAAGTCATACTACACAGATCTTTGTATGAGCCGCAACACGCATCACAAGTTCGCATCCGTCCAGACCCAGATGACATTTTTGCAGTTGATAAACCGCTTCGGGGAGCATCAGTTCCACCGGTTCGGTCACTCTGGTTAGCACGGTCTGGATGTACTGGTTGTGGAGGTTTTCGACTTCCGGCAACGCGAAAAGCTGTTTCTTCAGCTGAAATATCACGCTGCCCGTCGCGCCCTGCTCCTGCAACACGTCCAGGAAGCTGGCTTCCAGTTTCTTGGAAACGAGCGGGAATTCTTTCGCGATGGTCGCTTGGTGCAGGGATTGCCGGAGTTTTGGGGCGAAATACTCGGAGAAGAACAGGTGGAAGAAAACCTCCAAGAAGGAGGTCGGTCTTAATATTGATGTACTAGTAGTACCTGGTGCTGCTGTTGTACCAGTTGAAGATGAAGACAACGCCGCCGTTGTAACTGTATTTGTTTCAGCATTTTTTCCGTTGTACAGCAAAAAGCAGTCGGAGAACTTCGCGTGCGTGATTGGGTCGGTGCGGTTGCGGAGGAAATTGTCGAGGAACGCAATTTGCGAGCATACCGCAGTTCCGGCGGCGAAAAAGTTGTCGAGCAACGCGGCCACCTATCAACTGCAAACATGTCTGGATCTGGAAGATTCTTGCACTTGTTTGTCATGCATCTTCTCGACCACGCAAATGGTCTCTATTGCACGCAACAGCACCGCAGGTTTTGCACAGGCCTCTTGCTCTTCCTCTTGATGCCTATCCTGGTCCTCCATTTAGAAATCCCCTATTTGTGTACCAAGAAATGGGTGTCTTTTGGCGCTCATGCAATGCAAATTTCTGCCTATTCTAGAATACGCATCACAAGTTGATGCAACCGTCCAGCCCCAGACAACATATTTGCAAAGCATAACACCGTTATTGACCCGGAAAACCGCGTGCCAAGCGGTTTTAGGAGCTCGTCCAGCTTCCTCGCCAGGTCAGACGCGAGCAGCTCAAGCTGGTGTAATGTGGTAAGTTAAAATATTAATCGTGTCGCTTTACTCGTGTAGATGATTGCATGTGCACATCAAATGTTCCCAACAAGAAAAATCAAATTGGGACATGAACCTGAATTCGTATGAAGATCTCGTCTCCCTCTCGTCATGCAAGATAATTTTGATTGCAATTTCTCCCTGCACCGTATAGAAATACCTCTTCCGACAGACAGTGCAGGTTGTAAAACGCCTGCGTGGCTTGCTCGAGGACCAACAAGTTCATTTCTTTCAAGCCCCGCCAGAGGTCTTCCTTCGCCCTCCCCCGGATCTGCTGGCCGACTTCCCGAATGAAGTGAATGTCTCGTTGCAACACGGAAAGCTTTTCCAGGCCATCCTCGAGCAACGCATTTTCCAGCTCGTAGATCGTGCGCGCAGCCTTGGCGTATTCCTTGGTAAGTCCGCCACTGCCTGGTGATATTACATTTTGGTAGCTTGTGAATTATGAGATAGAGTGCTGTTTGCAACCACCTCGCGTTACCATGCAAAGATGAAGAGGAGCCAAGCATTTATTTCGGAAAGAACAAGAGATGCACTAGTACTGCCTCGCAGAGAGCCGGCGTTATTTACCTTTACGAATTACTTAATATCTCCGATTAGGAGCAAACTCTACTCTACTAGTAGTACCGGGGTCCACGTGTGCGCGCAGTTTCTTCAGGTCGAACTCAAACCGCAGATACCTCCGCAGCAATACGTTCACCCTTTGCGCTCGGTTCAGCAACGCCGTCTTCCTACGCAGGTCGCGGAAGGGAACGAGGCAATGGGATCGCACTTCCTGCATGGAGGCCTTCAGGACGGACACATTCTCCCGCACTTCCGACAGCTCTTTATCAAGGAGCTCCAGGTTGAAGCTGGTGTTGTGATCAAATACCATCAAGTACGACTTACGTAAAAGAACATTGGATGCGCTCCTCTTTGATAAGATTCGTTTCACTTCAGTATTTCTAGCAAGAGATGAAGTATCATGTATGACACAGTCCAAGCTCGCATTGCTGTTCCAGCATGGCAATAAACAAAAACGAAAATCCATTGGTAATAAAAATTGAAATTTAGTACGTGTTATCGAGAAGCCGATCGTGGCAGAGCACCACCTCCGCGTGCAGGTTGCTCTGTATATGAACTGTAAAAGTATGGTATCGCACTCGTATAAATGCATTACAAATTTCCTCAGCATGAGAAATGAAATTTGTCATGCTGATTTACCTTACGAAGCAGATTTGTAACGCATGATTGCGATTACTAACTACGAGTACGATACTTTTGCAGCTCATACTGTATCCCGGTTAGCGATTCGTCCAAGACGTTTGCCAGTGTGCCGATGAAGTCGTTCCCCTGCGTCGCGACCTTGCCGATGAAGTCGGTGACCTCAAAATCCCGCCGCCTGAACTGGGAGGTCACCTCCGCAGAGGAGGGAATGGAGGACTATGCATTGCAAAAGTATCGTACTAGTATAAACTGCATCACAAATTTTGGCAAGAAGGAAAGTCGAATTTGTAATGCTGTTTTTCCTTGGGAAAAACATTTGTCATGCATATTTGCGATTAGTACGAGTGCGATACTTTTCCACACGATAAGGACGCGCTAGTGACGAAATCCATGGTGGTGATTTTGGCTTCGAGTTCTTGCTGTACAATTCCCGTGCTGGCCCGCAAGGCTGCGAGCCCGGTACAACTAGGGCTCAACTTTCATGCGCGATCGCGAATAGGAAGTGGTGATGTCAACATAGCTTCATGGAGCACTTGAAGTAGCGACTCCCTGGCCTGCCTCAGACAGGCTCCTTCGAAGATGAAATTACAACCATCATGTTTTATTCGGTATGCACTTCTGGTACGATCGCTGTAGTAGAGAATAAAGCGAGATAGTGAAGATTATGCGGAAATAATCGTTGTACCACGACGATGGACTACTTCTTCTTCCCCATTATAAACGATGAAACCGATTCAGATAGCAGGTAGTACATCAAAATGTATATTGCGGATCCAAACGGATGAACTGCTAAAAGATCTGCCGTAGAACATCTTCACTGGATTCAATGTCAAAGCCGCATGGAAATGGAGAAATGAAGTGTGATTGTGCTATAATAAGTAGTCACCACAGTTGCAAGCACAGTACTATGAAAACCTCCTGCCTCATCAGTTTCTAACCCCAGCAACTTGTCCAAGCACGCCCCCTCCAGGCGTGCGTTTTTTCCTCGCGCCACCAGCAGACGGCAAGTCACTTTGGTGATCTCTAGTACTGTTTCCTTGCAGGTCCACCAGCTCTGACATCGTCGCCACCACTCGCGTCAGTTCCGTCGCAACGGTCGCGGCCTCTGCCTCCCGAAAAAGCTGCGATTGCCGGAAGTACGGATCGAAAGGTGTTGTCGACTCTGGAGTCGTTCTTCTAGTCGTTTTCACCGAAGAACTAGCTTCTCCTACTTCTGCACCCGAGCCACTCACCTTGTCCCGCTGTAACTGCGCGCAGAGAAGGGCGATTTCGCGCAGTGTCTGCTCGTCTTCGGGGGACCTTGGTGTAGTACTGTCTATGGATTGCTGTGCGTGCAGAAACCCGAGGAGCAGGTCTATCCGGTCGCGGAGCATCGTCGTGCTTCGGAGAAGGGCCTTCTTGTGGTTCGCATACTGCGCCAGACCCTCACCATCGCCGCCTGTGGCAAGCTGCTGGGTCGTGATGCGCTCTACCTCCGTGGAAGCGACGTCAAACCTTTATTTGCAGTGTTGGACGGACGTCGACATGCTTGCCGGATGAAATAAGGTCAAAATGAAAAATAAAGAACTGCACCATACAACTCCCAGAAGAAGTATCTATTCTAGTACATCGAAGTACCTACTAGTAGTAAAAGGGACAATCGAATCATGTTGACAGGTCAACACAAGCTAAAAGCTGCAAACCTTTCTTGCGACACTTCCCAGACCGCCCCGACTCCGGTCGTTCCTGCGCTCTTTTCGTAGACGTGGATGTCTTTCAGCCCGAATGTAATCACGTCCTCGCCAACAACGGCAGATAAAGCAGAGGATGCTACACTCCCATTGCTGGAACCAGCAGATGCTAAAGAACTACCACTGCTCTTCCGTATGTGACAGTCGACATGCAGTAGGTATTCCGCAGACAACCCGGCAAGGAAAGATTTTATCATCGGGATACTCAGCTGAAACACTTCCTTCCCAGCACAGCAAACGTAGAGCCCAAGAAACTCCAAACTGGGAATATCGTGAGAAAAAAGTGTTACTACAGTTACACATTTGTAGGCAATTCAGCAACACAAATGTCCCTGCATGAGAGAGAAAACCTGTAATGCAGAAATCCTAGGGGAAAACACCTACGAAACGAGGCTCTTATGCATATCCGGCATGACAGAGCCTGTCTGTCTTGCTTGGCCTGCAAGACAATGTGTAACTGTAACACTTTTTTCTCGCGATAGGGAAACACCTCCGCATACTGCTTTAACCGTTCATCGAAAAACTTCCGATCGAGCTGGGTCGGGTCCGCGTCTGGGTCCGTCTCCGTTTCCGTGTTAAATTTCAGTTCGAAAGAATTGTACAAATGCGCCTTGTTGTCGTCCGTAAATTGGCCGAGCAGCGCAGCAATGGCGACTGGCGGACGAGACAACTGTGCTTGATGCTCGACCTTGGCCTGCTGAAGCCTCGTAGTCTGGTCCGCAATGTTCAGAAGGACGAGCGGGTGCAACTGGAGTTTCCTCGAAGAGGTTGCGCCACTCATTTTGTTCTTCTTCACGTGCTACTTTCAACATACGGTAGATGATATCAGCATCATGCAGATTGTGCCGGTGGTGGTGTACATGAAGCAACAATCGATCTTTTCAGCTTCTGACGTACTTTAACTTTGTTCCACGAACTGAAATGGAAATCCTGTAAAAACACATAACAGAAAAACCACGCATTTAAAGGATCTCCTTCTGAGCCGAACTACAACAAGACACTATAATCTTCCAGGAAAGCTGCAGGGATCTTCGCTGTCACAAAGCCAAATCACGATCGCTGGATCGACGCGGTCAGATCCTCTTCTTCCGAGTGAAAGAGCCTGCGTTGGTGAACAAAGCTCAAATACTTCTTCAAACCGCAGCTTGTGGCGTTTGCAGCGAAACTAACTTGAGACCAAGGGTGCAGCTCGGCGACAGAGCCTTATGCTTATGTTACTTGATTTGAAACGAAGCTTGAAAACTTTTTTCATCATCAAACAATACACCTGTAAAAGTACTTTCATTTTCAGCTGGAATATTTCGATTCGACGATGAGAATACTATGCATGAGGCTCGTCATAGCCGTTTTTATTTCTCTATCAATCTCCAAACCTGGGTTCCTCTTCCTCGATTTTTTTCCTCTTCCCACGTTGGCCATCTGCTTGTTTCAGCAACCCCTCCAACAACTGCTTCAGTTCGCGAGCCCACCGGTCGAACTTTTGTTCAGCTTTTTCCCGCAGCGCGGCGTCTACTCCGACAGTTTCATCGCTGAAGAGTCTCCGGAATTTCTTTTCGAAAACCTCGAGCAGCTTCGAAATCTATGAATTGCAAATATATATGGCTGGGTCTGGAAGGTGGTAACTTGTCATGGTAAATCTGAACGACACAAAAATCTGTGTTGCATGAGTGCCAAAAGCTGCCCACTTTCGACCAAGTTAGGAGGGAGTTTCTCATGCAGGATAAGCATTGCAGAGACCTCGCAGAGTCCGTCATGCTAAGTCCCGCACTCCAGATCACATGGGTCATGGAAAATCTGCATGGCAAGTTTACACTTTTCCAGACCCAGACGTTTTTGCACTTGATAAAATCACCGTGTTCACCAAAATCCCCTTCGCCTTCCTCGCGTCGCTTTCGTATTTGGCTTGTACCTTCTTCCTGTTTTCCAAATCTTCAATCGCTTCTTCCACGCTCTCCATCACCCCGACTGGCCCCGTCGGCGTCTCGTCGTCTGCGAGCTTCAGGTCCTGCCGATTCCCCGCGACGAAAGCGACTGTAAAGCAGAGTCTCACGGCGGCTTCGCATACCGTGAGTAAAAAGTCCGGGGCCTTGCAATTTTCCGTGAGCAGCGCGGCAGCAGTGTCGGATTCCAGAAACTGGATCATCGCTCTCGGCTCCGTCGTATCAAATGCAAAAGTGTCTGGGTCTGGAAGAGCCAAACTTGTGATGCGCATTGCAGAATACAGGAAAATCTCTCATGCATAGGTAGCAAAAGCTGCCCGCTTTCTGTCACCCAAATGGGGGACTTGTCATGCGGATTCGGCATTGCGGAAGCTTCTCAAACCCTGTGATGCTAGAGCTTCCATGCCAGACCTTCTGCGTCATGCAAAAACAGCATGACTCTTCCAGACCCAGACATTTTTACATTTGATACGTCGGCAGGACCTGGGTTCGATGGAGCAGTGTCGCGTATTGTCTTTTTTCTTCGTCCGTGGTCAACGAAGTCTTTCCGTCGAGCGACAGCAGGAGGGAAAACGCCCTACTGCTACGGCCCGCACGTTCGTAGAGATCTGCAGCTGTTGCATAATCGGCGAAGAGAGTGGTTTGCCCCGCGGTAAGCGCCGCGGCCTCCGCCTGCTTTAGCAGGTCAACGTTAGTACTAGGGGTCGCTGAAACGGGGGCGGTCATCTTGTTAATAAAAGCACTGGTTGTGTCCTCTTACATTGTTCTTCCATACTCTTGTGTATAGATAGATTAGATCGAGACCAGGGAGAATGCTGCTTTCAACTTTGTGTTTGTTTTGCAATACTTAGACGAGTACTGGGAAATGAATACCGTACGGGGGCGGGAGCGGGACACTGCTGTGGAACGAACAGTGCTAGAAGGCGACACAGAGGTTGAGGCTGTCCCTCGCTGCATACAGTGGACATTTTGTGTCAGCCCTGGTAGTGCAATTACTTCAATTTCAAACATTTTAGCTGCTCTTGCCAGTGTTTGAGTCGTTTACTGCTTTATGGTAGACCAGCACAAAGCCATCTCTACTTCTCAAGCTCGTTGAGCTTGAGCGACATGGTAGATTGATAGTATGTGTATGTCCGTGATTGAAATCTTGCTCCGATGTTTACGAATACCAATACTTTCCATCACACATAGACTTCAGACCTTCCCGTGTTCATCAACATCTTCTGCAAGACGTGTTCGTCCTTCCGGTCCATCGTTCTTTTGGCGTCCGATGCATTTCCCTGCTTCAGTTTGCCCTTTAAAAAATTCTCGAAAACGCCAAACGTCTTGACCTTCTTCATCACGTGCAGCTTCTTGTCGAACTTTCCCGTTGAGGCTTGCTTGGCTACCCGTTTCGCAAGCGAAATTACTAAAGAGGAGCCTTGCGAATCTTCTCCGACTTTGTTGTCCAGGATGGAAGTGATACCTGAGACAATAGAAGTAAAACCATGTCAACAATGAAACATTTACTTAAATACGTTTCTCACTTAGTACAGACAAAACGAAAACTTGTAGTCAGAGCTGTGTACTACCAGGTGGCAGATAAGTTCTCCCACGATAAATTTGAATTTCCTAGAGCTAGACGTAAACATGGAACGACACGACATACAACGCAGCTATTATAGGTACAGCAGCTACCTTCCGCCACAACTCCGTTAACGACCCCGACCTGGTCTTTCTTGCAAGCGGGATTGACCTTCAAGCACCCTTCGGTCGCCGCCGCGACCATGGGTGGGCACCCCAGCGTGATGCACCCAATGGCCTCACTCGGCTTCAGCTCCGCCACGCACAAACCCGCGCAAACGAAGTAGCCCGCAATCCCCGCTCCGGCGCACTCGAAATCGCACTCCTTGTTCTTTAGGTCTTGTTTGTTCTTGACTGTCGTTGCGATTTTGTTAGGCTTCATTTTGCTCGACAAGTCCTCCAGTCGTGTGGTCGTCTTCCACGACGCCGACGCGTCTTCCGCTGAAGGCATAGCGTTCTGGACGGTTATCTCTCCTGATGTCGTGCCAGAGTTAGAAGTCTCCAAACCAGTATCAAGCTGGTCCTCCACCCCGCCCCGCATGTCAACATCTTTTGTTCCTGCTTTGTGTTTTTTGAAATAATCCTTCACCGACGCGGCTAATTGCTTTACTTCCGAGGGTTGGAGCTTCCTCTTGAGTGCCTCGATCGCTTTTGCCGTAGACGTGGACTCCCGCCCCAGAACTCCAACGGCTTTTTCGCTGCGCAACTTCGCCAGCATCGCGTCCTCTCGCCCCGCAGGAAATGACGGGTCAGCTGCATCCGGAGTGGTAACTGTCTCATCAACACTTCTAACGGCACCTCTCGCGAGGACAGAACGCGGGGCGAACGCCTGCAGAAACGACAGGTAACGCAAAAAGAACATTTTCGGAAAATAAATGACGACAAGCGCTACCTTGAAGAACAGTTCTGAAGAAGCGATGAGACGAATACGAAACAGAAAGAGAACGACGAAAAGGACCTATAGCAGGAACATATCGTTTAATACCCCCTAATTTGCAGCTTCTAGATGTTGAACATAGCACCAGCACGTAGTACCGCGAGCCGGCACGAGTATATTGTGGCCGTGGTATGATCTTGACGCGCAAAGCACATTTTCTTTTTATCCGCGGTTTCATTATATTTCCGAAAGAAACACAACGAGGAATCCTAGCTGTGTCTGTCGATTGTTATCAACTATCGTGCCAAAACGTATAATTATTTCAAAAGTTGTATCAGGTCCCGAATGCGTAGAACGGATTGTCGAGCGCGTTGGAGTATACCGCACTCTGGTCCGGCGTCATGAAATCCACGTACCGGCCGGGCAAGGTCGTTCTAGTATCTCTAGAGGCTGCAAAAGTAGAAGTAGACCCATCGATTTTTGCAATTGACGATTTTCTTCGCATTGAACTACCCTCACGCCCCTCCTGCTCCGACGTCGCTCCTTCCCGCCACGTCAACCCCTCTTCCACCAACGCCGAAAAAGCCCGGCCCTCCGCGTCAAACTGCACGAAATTCCGACGACGCGGGGAAAACTCGACGCTGATCGCCCGGTCCCCGATGGTTAACGTTTCCAGTATTCGTTTCGCGCGTAACGCAGCGGAGAAGCCGCCGCGGAACCGGAGACAGAGGATACCGTCGTTGTGGTGCTCGGACATGTAGCGCTTGTTGCCTAGAATCTATCCTGTATAAAAACCTCCCCATCCCAGAGCTGTCATGCAAATCAGCATGGTGACAATGTCTCTCATGCGGAGCCCCATGAGAAGCATTCTTTCGCTCGTCGTGTTGCGGGATTTGGCATGCTCAAACCAGCATGATAAGCTAGGTCTGTGATGCTGCTTAATTAGCTAAACAGGACTACACTACGAGGCCAAACTTGTCATGCGCAGCAGCCAAAGCTTGTCGATTTGTCTTGCAGATTTCCCAACTTGACTATAGGGTGGGGACGTTTTTACAAATGATAGAATCTCGTGGATGTCCATGTCCACGTTGGGGAGGAAGAGAAAAGGATCCGCGTCGTATCCTGAGTAAAAACGTAGCCACACCAGAGTCAGGATGGGGATTTTGCAACACAAACCTAGGAGTTTTGTGAGTCACGCATGACAAGTTGCACTATGCAGCGTAGTGCAGGTTAGCAAGTTCAGCCGCATCACAGATTCATCTGCTCATCGTGTTCACAGCATCAAAAATTCCCAAACACGATTGGAAATGGCTCTCATGGGGATGCGCATTACAAGTCTTCCTGTCTTTGCAAATCTGCATTACAACTCTGGTGTGGGTACGTTTTTACTCAGGATACGTCGAAATCCTCGTCGTTTTCGTCTTCCCACGTGTCCAAAAACTGCCGCTCGTCAAATGGGGGCACCTGCTCGATCTCCGCGTTTTCTCCTGAAGCGGTGACCTGGACGTCCAGCTTGGTGACGCGATTGGACGTTTTCACCCCCAGGCTGTTTGTCTCCGGAAATTCGAACAGCTCGGGGTTCGCGAGGTGCAGAGTCAGTTTTGTGTTCGCATTTTTGCAGCCCTGTCCCAACTTCCGGCCGACTTCCCGCAACACCGTGGCGAGAGGGAACTGCCAGGGCAGCCCGGTGAGGAGGAGCGTGTTTTTGGATGTTGCTTTCTCCGGGTAGGTGGCGCGGAGGAGGGACTTATCAGGCTTGCTCAGGTAACTAGATGAACCGTTCATCGTGGTTGTCTTGCTATTGTTTCCACCATTTCTTGATGTTGCTGTCGTGACGAGCACGCCGTGAATGCGGAAAAAATCCCGCGACGCGTTTGCTACGGCTGCCTCGTCTCGGAATTTCAACACTGCGTAGGCCGAAGAAAACCGGTTGGCGTTCACGCGTTCCATGCCCGCGTCCTGGGCGCTGTCCTGGTCGGAAAGGGCGGTTTTTGCGCGAAGGTTTTTGTGCCGGTCGGAAAAAATTTGCACGTGCTCGATGGGTCCGAAAGGTTCATAGGCATCTCGGATGCTAGCGGTGGTGCAGTCAAACGGCAGGTTGGAAACGAAGAGCAACGTGTTAGGATCTGCGTTTGGTTGGAACAGAAAATCGTCGTCCTCGTGGACAGAGGAATGTTGTTGAGGATATCCATTTAGTGCCGCAGCCGCTACACGCGATGTTGTTGAACCAGTATAACGACCACTCTTTGTCTCTACCAGTTCGGCTTCCTCGTCTCCATACGACACATGGCAGTCCCCGCACCGGCGTTCCCGCAGCTTCGTGGGCGGGGGCGCTGCTTTGCACACCTTGCCGCTAAGCGTGGAATTCACCGTGGGGCTTTTCCGGAAAAAGTACTGCGGCAGGACCGTTTCCTCTTCGCTGGAGACGCCGTTGGTGCGAGCAGTGGAAGTCGCATTGTTAGTCCCGTCCGGAAAGGATAAGTCGTCTCCGCCACCGCCTCTTTTACCACTCGTTCCTACCTGATGCGAAAGGAGTTGCAGCAGATGCGGCACCCGAAAGCAGCCGCACAACGCCCGCAGCATTTTCGGGACCTCCTTGTGGTGTTTGCTCGGCAGTAAACGCATCCACCGGTCGGCGTGCCGCTGCAGAAACGTGATTTCTAACCCCGCAACGCAATTCGCCGGCGGCACGGTGTGGTCCAAGATGAATTTCGGAACCAGCTCCGGCGCACAATCTTCCGTGCCGAGTCTCGCCAAGTCGTCGCACAACGCCTGGGCATCGGCGAGGGAGGTTGCCGCGTTGGACGAGGTGGACTGCTGGTTCTTCCCTTGCACGTACTGGCGGTGCAGTTCCTGCACGTATTTTCGGTTCATCTTCAGGGCAGCCGCGGAGGTAGAAGTCTTCGACAAGGATGTCAATGCAGCATTCGTAGTTCTCACAGGTGGTAGAGCTGTGTCCTGGCGCGCCGCAATTACTCTTGGTTGCCCCATCGTAATTCCGCCGGCGGGAGTGTGAGTGTCGCCATGGCCGATCGCATGAGATAAGGTTGAGGTTGTTTTAATTGGTAGTGATGGGCTGCTCGTCCCGTTGTATCCGCTGAAGCAGCTGCTCTCGTCGTCTCTCCTGCTTAGTGCAGGTTTGCTCCACCCATTTCGCCATTCCGTTTCCCGATCCAGATCTGGCTCCAAATTTTTGAAACTCGAATTCAGCGGAAGCAAGTAAGACGAGGAAGAGCTTGTAATATTATGCGACGCGGCTGGCGACAACATGTACCTCCGTGACCCATCGTGCCTGTGGTGCAAGGGAGGTTGCAAGCGACATACTCCGCTTGTCCTCGCGGACGATCTGATCACGGTAGTACACGTCACTTGACGGCAACTTGAGGACGAGCTTGATAGCATCATCAAACTTCGACTTCCTCCACGGTGGCGCCCGGCGTTTCTTGTTTTCTGTCAGAAGATGAGGAATGATCTACACACAGTTCTGCTATCTTTTTGTTTTCGGAACAGGAACGCTTTCGCAAAATTTAAATTATCGTTACGCTTAACGTCCGGTTGTACTCATAGCCTCCAGTGCCCGTTCTTGTTAGAAATGATCCAAAAAAAAGCGAACCAAGCACACGAACTTGATCGAAAAAGCTGCCTATGCGAGTGGCAAGAAAGTTAGATCTTTTCTCAAAAGTGATAGTGACGGAACACAACTGCAAGTACCCCCCGGACCCCTCGGGAGCGAACGCTCCACAAGAAAATCTGTTGTATGTATGTTGAGTCGCTTTGTGCTTTGAGATATGATTCCCCTGCTGTCGCCTGATCACTGTGCGCGTTGTAACAAACAGGTTGGTACTGTCGCTTTATTTGCTTTGGAGAAAACGAAGTGCTGCATAGCTGCCAGCCTCTCCTCGTCCCTTGCAAAGTAAAAGTTGTATCATTTCCCCACCAAGTGTACGTCATTTGTCAGCAATTCGACCTTCGCCTGCATGGGCGTCAACCCCCTTCGCCCCACGCCGCCGCGCGCAAGCAAAATGTGGTGGCACTTGGCAGCGCCTTTCATCTGCATATGAATTGCAACAGTATCGCACTCGTATAAACGCATGGCAAATTCCCTATCCCTCAGCATGACCATGGGAAATAAAACTTTTAATGCGAATGCACCTTTAGAAAAAAATTTGTAATGCATGATTGCAATTACTATGAGTACGATACTTTTGCAATGCATATTGCATGGGGTACGGTGATTTCGTGGCCCCGAGCAACACTCGGGCGCCCATGGTCTCCAGAATTTTCTGGTCCTGTTCCCAGCTGTAGTCCGGCTCGCTGCCGCCGACAATTGCGTACGGGTACTTTTTCTCGATCAGCAGCTGAAAAGTTTCCCACCACCGGGAAACGTATCGGTGGAGGTAGGGCTGGAGGAAAAAGATCATCCCCGGCTTGCGGTCTTTGAGAACTGTGTTGAGCGCGTCTTCCGCGGGCATGTTGTAGTTTTCGATTACACAGGTGCCGCCGCCGTTTTTACCTTGTATTTGCATTTATGGGCAGCTGTGGATTCCTATACTGAATTCTTACAAGGGAATTTCAGAATCAGTATCAGAGAGACTAAATTATCAAACTACGATCAGAAACCAAACCTCCATCGTGAACACCAGGAATCGTACCTGAAACCGATTTCCAAATGCCGTCATTTTCGGGCTTCGCCTTGTCCTCAATCACGTCGTCGTCGGGCGTGCGCTCGCCCAAAAACCCCACGTTCACCAGTCGTATTATCCTCTTCAACGGCCCAAACGCCTGGATCCACAGATTCGGGTCCTGGAACTGCAGTTCGAAGGTGCCGGAGGCGCCGAAAAACCAGAATTCAATGTCCCGCTGCCCCGTTGGCTCCTGGTTCACGAGCGGATGGAAATCCTTGTCGTCTGGATTGGATAATAACGCGTAATTTAACAACGCGAAAATACAAGTATCCCTTAACTGACAAGGCCATTGATTCCGGTCCAGCGACTTGATTTGCTGGCAGGTTTTCGCCAAGTCCGGCGGCGCAAGCATCTTCGTCGCGGCCGCCAGCTCGCGCAGCGCGTCGTGATTAGGGTTGGTTGAGGCGGAACTAGAGGAACTTGTAGTCCCGCCAGGGGGCGGTGAGCTTGGATCGATTTTTGCACCTGGAACTCCTCCTGCGATGTTCTCTCGGTGTTGCTTCAACAGCTCCGGAGGCACTGGTGGCGGCTCGTCTACCGCTTCGGTTGTTGTGTTTTTTTCTTCTGTAGTTTTATCTGTAGTCTTGCTGTCAACATCTGCCGCAGAACAACCAGCTACTTCCTCATCTTCCTCGTCTCCGGCAGCAGATCTTGGGTGTGCAACGGGGACATCCTCATGATCGCCGTCACCCTCACCTTTCAATGGAGTTATACTGACCGCTGGTTGTTGTTTCGTACTCACCGAGGGGAGCAAGGGGGAAAACAACTCACTGCTGGTGTCTGAGAACGTGTAGAGAAAGTTCTGGTCGAGGTTTTTGAAAAACGGAGCCTCGTTGAATTCCTTCTCAATTTCCGGAATCCGGCTCGATGATGTAGTTGACCTTGAGGGCGACGACGACGAAGAAGATACAGCTCCACCAGGAGCAGTTTGAGATTCATTTTTCGACAGGAGCGCATGAACATCAGAATTATCCCCCGCCACTGTCCGCGGCGGCGCGTTTTTCAGGCTGCCGGCCTGCACGATGCCTGGTGCGAAAAAATCCCTTAGTAAGACCCTTTTCCGCTCCAGTTCTTGCTGAGTCAACTCCTTTCCTTCCTGCTCGTATGCTCCGAACATCTTTTTCATGGCTTTACTGTCCTTCTTCTTCTGCAGCAGCCACTCCCGCTTCTTCGTATTGTAGTACTGCTGCGCATATCAAATGTAAAAATCCCTGGATGTCTGGAAACTTGTGATGCTGAGTGGCGTAGCATGAGGAGGCCACAAGTGCTGGCTCAGCATGACAAATTTCTGAGCTTGTAGGTGTTGCCTATTATGCATGACAAACTGCGTCTCCGCATGACTGAAAAAAACGTCTCTTGGGCAATGTGCATGACAGATTTAAGAGTCATGCCAGACAAGCATGACAAACATGCATTCTTCCAGACATCCAGGGATTTTTACATTTGATAGCGCAGCTTTGCAGTCCCGGTCCACGGTCAGGAGGTCCTCGAGAACTTCCAAAGCCTCCTTGGTCCGGGTTTTGGACTCTCCGAAACACATCGCTTTGCGGTAGAGCGCTTTCACGAGATGCTCCTTCTTCAAGTGGTCGCGGCGCTTTAGGGCCTGATAGGATACATTTCGTTTCATAGACGATCAACTGAAGTAGATGAATCACGGTCCAGACACAAGAATTGAATCGAGGAAGACACTTCTGTCTCGAAGTAAACCAGCATGTTGAGTTCAATATCTTTGCAAAAACACTTTTTTTTATGTGTAAGTACTTCTACAACACAACTCTTACCTTATCGCAGAACATGATTCCCATTTCCGGTTCCCCCAGGCAGATGTAGCACTGCGCGGTGTTCAGGTTCAATGTCAGATCCAGCTCCGACAAGTCCATGTTCCCGAGCATGTGCGGCCCCTGACAGAGCGCCGACAATACTTGCTTCAGCCCCCCGGTGTAGTAGGCGATGGCCCGTTTGTACTTTTTCTCCTTGAACGCCTGGTTGCCCTTCTCCTTGCACTTTTCGATGGGAAGGTTGGGGTATTTCGACATGCTGGTGCAATCCTCCGGGTCCGCCTCGTTGTCACGGTCCACGGGGAGGACTTCGTAGCTGTGGAGGTGCGTGGGAGTATTAATAGAAGCCGTGTCAATTTGCATTGCGAATAAACACAATCATCGTAGTTTATACTGGTAGGCACGCTATCACTATGTTGTAAGTATCCCTAACAGCAGGACATCATCATTTACACGGGTAAAAGAAGCGAAACCTCTGTAGTCGACTTCGTAGGTTGTAAGTAGCCCCACCATAGTACCACGTAATTACCCTCTCTTCGCCATCTCCGCGACCATCCTTTGATCTTCTGTCATACCGTCACCGCCGGGATCCGGTGCTGGGGCAGCGGAGGTTGAAGATGTCGGTGCAACGACATCCGGAGTCGCAGCAGCGTCGCAGGAGGAGCCTTCTGCGATTTCTACTGCCTGCGGTTCCGCGGGCTGAGACGGCTCCACGGGCATCGCGGTTGAGTCTGGTTCAGGCATGCTGACAATACTTGCGAGCCGGCTTTTGCACGGTGGGTTTCCCGGTTATTTCCATGGCGGTAATGGGGCCTTAGAATTCGCCATGCTTTACACTTCAGGTGAGTATCATGTTCATCTTGTTTTCGGTTAGTCCACGGAAATTTGATGTAAACTTAGATTGTCAAGTGCTCAGTCCATTTTTTGTGTTCAGGCAAATCTATCTAATAAATCCACAACTGCAGCTGCACCGCGCAACGTGGCCAATACCCGGCAACTTTGACGCGCGCTACTCAAATGTCACTCGCTGTCATTCCGGAACCGTTTGAAAAAGCTTTGTCTACGGGACATGGTTCAAACAAAGACACGAACAAGAATGATCGACGATCCACAGAAATAAAAATGGTCCAACTTTCTACACAAATGATGTCCGGTTCGTTTTCGGATCCAACAACATGTGATCATTGACATTGGGTGTTTGGTGATACGGTTAGCGACGATAATATGTGTCCGTGACCGTGTCGGTGGAGCTGGAGGTCGCTCATAAATAAATTTTGTTGTCTCCCTCGAGGGTCGACGATGAAATGGTAGGAAAAGGAATATCCTTTGATCTTCGTTCTCGAACAGCACTTGTTCTCGTCGCCCGAACCGTCGGGGATCATCGGGTAGCTGCTTTCAACCCGCCTGTTCTTCAACTTTATTCTTGCTCCTTTTTGGTCAAGCTCATCATGATCATTCAATAGCAATACGACTTGGTTTGTAGGTATAGTTGTAGTTGGGAAAACGAAACTTGTTGGTGCCAGGAAAGGGGAGATTGGAAGAGCGAATCGATAGAACCAAGAGACAAAGCTGTTCCAGTACTTGGCAGCAGTGCCGGGCGACACTACTGCTTGTGGATCAGCTTGGGGCAGAAATAATGTTTTAGAAAACTCCAGAGAATAAATTTACATTTGTATGGTTATGGACCTTGCAAGGAAAACGGGAAAGTGACGCATGTTATAGCACGAAGAAAGAAAAAGCGAATAACACCGATTGCAGCGCAAAGCATATCAATCAGTCGCTCGAACCTAGGGCCCGACTCGAGCGGGTTCATAACAAATTCGACAGCGCAGACATCGGTGCAGCGATAAAGCATACCACAAGACAAGGTCGACAGCGCAGGCATCGTGAAGGCTAAAAATTAGAAACAAAATCTAAAACATGCGTGCTCTTTTAGCAATCTTTTTGTTAAGAATAAGAACTTCATCATCATCTGACGTGCGAGAGAAAATTAAGTGTCACAGCTTTGCAGGTGCGAGTGCCCTCCGTGGGGCTTCGCACGGGTGTGGCGGGTTTTCCTCTCTAGGGTTGCCGCCACTGTGCACTCCCTGCAATAGACATCGAATGTGAATGCTGTTGACAAAATGCTTCCGCTCTCGGTCTCGAACAAAGATTGAAAATTGTATATCATGAACTATGTGTATAAAAATTGTACATGATGGCACGAGCATAAAGTTGAACGAATCAAGTCTAAATCATTGTACTTTTTTGTAGTTTATCCGTATATCTATATCTGTTTTGCGTGTCGTGTTCAAACACACCCTTTCTACCCCTATCCCGACAGGCGTGCGAATATTTTTTTGTCGCCTGAAGATAGAAGTTCCGCCACGTCTTCTTGTTCTTTCTCTTCACTGCTGACGCCAGGATTTGTTTCAACGGTAGACGCCCCGGACGAGATGCTGCAATCGTCGGAGAGTAGAGACGATCGTGGCGATTTGAAATCGCACTCCTCGTCCTCGTCAGCATTCACGTTTTCGTTCATGCACCGCCAGGCAAAGGAGTTTTTTGTGATGCTCCGGAAGCCGCTAGTTGTATCTTCTCCGGCTCCCGCGGGGGAATCACGGCAAGCATCCAAATTTATGCCTGGGTTCAGCAAAAGGCAGACTTTCCTGGCGCTTTCATCTGTCGGGAACAGGTGCCAACGCTCTTTCGCTTCCTCCGCGGCAGTGAGTTTCGGAAAGTCGCGGTCCTTCCATTTGTCTTCAACGCCCCAGTCCAACAAGACCCGCACGTGCTCGGCGTTTTCGCTCCTGACTGCTCGGTGCAGCGGGCCGGCAGGTCGGCGTTCGGTGGAGGGAACGACGCTATGCAACATGCAATAAAGCGATTTCAGGCGCGGAGTTGGGTACAACTCACCCTCGTCAGGAGCACTCTTGTTAAGGTGGGGCAATGAAGCTTTTTCCACCATCTCCTCGACCACTTGCAGAGCATCCTTGCCGTCTTTTCCGCGCCACTGTATGTAGTGAAACACGTCGGGAAGGCCCAAGGCCTTTGCTTCTTCCAGAAGTTGTGTCACCTCTTCCAAAACCAGTACTGGATTGTTGGCGAACTGGTCCTCAATGCACCGTCGGAGCCTACCATCTCCCCGATAATCGTCTGCTTCCTCGACGCCAAGCAACGCAAGGGCGCGGCCTTGCGCAGCGTGCTTCCACATTCTGCACTCCGCCTGAACCTGCTCGATGTGGTCCCACAACATCGGAAATTGATCCAGCAACACCGATGTTAGCGCTGCGCGAAATCCCTTCGTGCGTTGCTTTTGTCTCTCCATTTCCCGGCCCGCCTTGTCAGCGAGAAAGGCTTCTGCTTCAGCCACAATGCGCTGGCGCGTCTCGAAGTCAGCAGGCGCCTCCTCTGGATCCCATCTGGGCGTCGAGGCCCCCAAATGTTTGATTTGGTTGTGTGCGAAATGGAGCAGCCCAAGAAGATCATCGTCGAACCCGCTGGGCGGCTCATTGGCTTTTAGCAGCCGGTCGATGGGAGCGGGCAGTTTGTCTTTCCAACCGCGATATTGGTTTTCGTACCGCCCCACAACACAAGAGTACAGCCACGAACGCTCGCGCGCCATCTGGTCCGTGTCGGGTATCGACTTCAACAGTTCGCGAATCTGCTTTTGCCGCGTCCGTGATGGCTCCTGAATTGCCAACGAAGATTTGGTGATGTAAGTTTCCTCGCTGCGCCCGGTGACAAAAGTCGCGCCACTTGTACAGCTCATGAAGTCGACGTCTGCCTCTTTTTGCTGCGATACTGCAGTCCTGTACGAGCGAAGAGACTGCAACTCATGCTCCACGGCGTCAGCGAGATCTTTGTCCTTGATCGCCTTGCCGCCTGTGGCCGCTCCTTCTCCAGCGAGATTGCGCAGGCACTGCATCATAAACTGATTGATGTTACCAAACGTCGACAGGTCGAACATCCGAGACAAAGTTCGCACTTTCGATTCCACAATGGCCAGCGCGCCCTCGAGCACAAATAATTCTTGGCACACACTCGGAGGTGGCAACAGTGGCTGAAAGATCTCCATCGGTTTAATTTCCACGGCAACTTGCTTTTTTGGACAAATAGAGGACGCAGGGACCAGCGCTAACGAATTTTGATGTGCGGGCTCATCTTCTTCCGGTGTCTTTTTAGGCGAAGTTGTGATCGAATAGGTATGTTTCTCCTCCAGCGCAGCTTCCTTGAGCTGCTGCAATATCGCTCGAGCCCTGCGGGATGCACTATCGAACACCTTTTCAAGTTTAGCAGTGGAGCCGTTGTTTCCGACGGCGTAGATATTTCCACATTCCCTTGCCAGCTCTTCAAACGACCATCGTTCCACTTTCACCAGACGTCCGCATACTTTTTTCCCATTGAATAGGTAGCGGGCCCCGGTGGACAGCATCTGCAGAAGCACCTCGACAACGGTGCCGGGACCGAGCTCCCGCATGCGAATCTTCACTGGTGCCCCACAATCCATGTTATCGCACGATGATCCCGGCAGCTGTAGGCGAGTAGACTCCGTGGCCGAGCCTGCGCACGGTTCCGCAGCACACTTGGCACAGGAATGTAGCGCATCTACACTGGCACTCACGAGCACGGTAAACGGCCCGATGCGCACAATTCGAAGGCTTTCCATGATCGCGTCGGGATGCTTGTCGCTCATTTGCCGTCCGCAAGCCCAGCGCTTGAACTGATACGAGTGGTTGTTCGCTCGGTTTTCCAGCGTTTCTGAACGCTCATCTGAATTCTTCTTGTTCACGACAATGATGCCCTTGCAGTTTTCCGCAACGTACCATTCCCGAGCACCGTCGACAAACCCACTCTCATCCGCACACGCCTGGAGAAAACTTCCACCGACGAGAAAGTCGATTTTCGTCAAGTCCACTCCTAGCTTGTAGGCTACGTACAAAGGCACAACTCTTGGGCAATGGTAGGGAAAGTCGACCCGCTTTAGGTCGGCCGATAATCCTTTGATGAAGCTGACTTTCGACCCCTTCCCTCCTCTAGTAGCTTTGAACCGAAAGGGCGAGGGGGCTTCCGCATCTTTACTACACCCCGATGACGGCGAAGCTTCCGGAGGGGCATCTTCCAGGGCGGCTACGGCTGAAGTTCCTGCTCCCCCCACCAGCCCTAGTATTTCATCCTGCATTTCTTGCAGGTCCCGGACTCGGTCGCCGGCACCACTTGCGCTGGGCTTCATGTCGACGCAGCGTCGTAGATTTTCCGCCGTAACCTCTGTGCCATCGGCGAGAGCCGGATTCCAAACGAAGGCGCCAAGGTCCTGGACTATTTCGACTACCTGCTTGCCAAGGCGCTGCATCTGACCCGCACCCCGAAGGCGACTGCGATCGCCGTCGCCGCGTTGGCGCCAGGACGAGCCAGCAGTCCTGACAACCGACGACGCTTGACCGCGATCAGCTTGGCGCCAGGAGCCAGTACTGCTACTGACACGCGCCGACGACGACGACGACGACGAGTAGTTCCATGCGGACGGTCCCATTTTATTCGAACTAGTACTAGAGCTATGGCTATCACAACTCGATAAGTTTCTGAGGATGCTATCTAAAATCTTAGCTACAGCTACGTGCGTGTTGTAGCTACCAATAACGCGCTCTCGGTCTCCCCCCAGGTCGTATGGATTGGCACTGCGCTCCCGACCCCCCTGTATCATGAAAATTGAATGTGCGTGTTGATTCAAATCGTACCATGGTCGCTCTTGTTCTTTTCTGAAGATTGATAGAAGCAACTTCGATCGCCCATTTTTTGGGTATGTGCTTCAACAGGTTCTCGGTCGCCATCATCATGATATTATCGGCAAGTGTATCAACAGGAGCTCAGTTGCGGTTAGACTCGGACAACTTCTGGAGAGATCACACACATTCCTGAGATCCTAGGCATTGGCTGTGATCTCCATCTCATCCATTTTCTTGTATGTTCTTCTTGTTTTTAATTGAGCTCACAAGAAAATGCAAAGAAGAATGGTATTTGTCCTGCATCACGAACACGATCACGAAACAAATCGTCTCTTCAATCATGTCGATCTTCTTATTTTCAGAAATATTTTTTGATCGGAATACCCTGATGCAGGGTTATTTTAGCTCCAGGTGAGCAAGAAGATACTAAAGTAAAAAACAACGACGGTTCGGAATCACCAGATCATTTCTTTGGCCGCAGACCACCACAAGATGAACACTACAGAACGAGGCTTGTCCGTGACAAGCTCCTTGGGCTTCGCGCCTGGTGTGCAGATCTTGCCGCAAAACTACTAAAGTATCTCGTGTCTCCATGTCAAGAATCACAACTCTCCACGGTTGTAGAATGACGTGGGCTCGAAAGGCTAAGGTTTTTTCGGCAGAATCAACCGTGTCCACTGGACCGGCGAAGAGATTCTAGAAAAGGCGAAGGAATTCTTTCTCAGCACCAGGCTGGCGCTGGCATGTTCGTTTTTATTACGGTTCAACATCATGATCATCTAGAGTAGAGACGGATTTACAGTCTTTTCAGCATCATCGCTGGTTGTGGCTGAAAGCACAAATACGCCTCCGCTCGACAACGGGTCCACAAAATGTGAAGGTGAAGGGGAAGCGACATCGTAGAACTCTTCTTCGTCGCTAGAGAAATTTTTACCGGGGCCGTTTAGCGCACGCGAGATTTCATACATGACTGCCCCTTCGGCGTGCTCTGTATTGCTATGCAGCCAGTTGGCCATAGCGAGCTCTCCCGCGGTTTGTTCTGTTCCCTTAGCTTGCCACTTGTCCAGAACGCCTGCCTGAAGCAGCTTTCGGACGCCCTCCAAATCGCAGGCCGCCACCGCCCGGTGCAAGGGTCCAGGGGGTCGCAGTACCGTCGACGGAACGGAATCCGCCAGCGGCTCATACACACACGCCATCCATTCAGACGACGGCCAGGTCGACGACACGGCCTCTGCGGCCGATAGCTGTGCCTCAATAAACTCCTCGGCCCGTTCCAACGCATCCTTCCCGTCCAGGCCTCTCCACTGCGTGAAGTTGTGAACAGGAACCTCCGCCACTAGTTCTCTCGCTTTGCTCAGTATTTGGCGCACTCCTTGTCGTTCTTGTTCAGAAGGCGGCAACATCTTCTTCCCCCCGTCGGCACTACTAGACGTAATAGCCCACGCAAAACTTTCAACGACCGCGTGGCCCAGCGCGCCACGACCCTCGGTATAATCCCTTTTGTCGCCTAGCGCAAGAAGTTCAGTGGCCTCGGGCCCGGCCTTTGTCCACTGGTGCGCTTCCGATCGCACGGCCGCGACGTGGTGGGGCAGCGCCGGGAATTTGTCGAGCAGAACTTGCATCAGCGCGGCGGTGTACCCCTTCGAGCGCATTTCGAGCTCTGCAACTTCGCGGTGCGCCACCTGTTCTGCCAAGTACGTCTCCGCGGCGCGCTCCACTTCCGAGGGCCGGTGTCGGATCTCGTCCCCTAAGTGCTTCATTTGATTGTGTGAAAAATGAAGCAGGCCCAGGAAGTCGTCCCAAAATTGGAAATCGTTTTTTTCGTTCGCCACCCGCAGGTCGTCGAGGGGAGGTGGTAAGCGCGCCTTCCAATCTTTGTAGTGCGCATCGTACTGCTGGATCAGACGCCAATACAGCCACGTCTTGGACATTCGGCGGACTTTCGGAATGCTGTCCATCAACAAACGAATCTTTTCCAAGCGAACCCGCGATTCTTCGTTGATCGCCAGAGAAGACGCCGTCTCGTGTGTGACGGCACTGCGACAGTCGGAATACGCCGTTGTCTCGCCCGCTTGACTTGATACGCCGCTGTCCCGTTCCCGCCACAAATGAGCATTTTCATCTACTGCATAATGCTCCATCCGGTTTTTAATTCTTGCATGATCCTGGTCTACTTCGTCCACGGCCTCATGATCTTCGACAAACGAAGAGCACGACCGGAGTTCGTCCGCGATCGCAGCGAACGCCTCTCCGTGAAGCTGGCGCCCAGGCCGCGCATGCAGTCGTCCCCTTCCCGAGCTAGAGTTCTCCCAGTTTTGCATGCACCGCTTCACAAAATCCTTGATACTCGGAAAGTCGTTTAACGGGAAGGACAGACGTAACGAGCGAATTCTCGGCCAGAGTCGCTCGAACGTCTCTTCCAAGGTGAACAAATCATCCACGACCGCCGCGGGTGGCAGCAAGGGGGGCGAAATCTGGATAGGGCGGAGTCGAACTGTCGGCTCGATGAGGTCGTCCCGTGCGGGACTGTCATCGATGTTGCCAACGTCCTCTGCGAATGTAGCACGGTCGATGCTGCTGCAACATATCTGGTACGTCATGTTCTCCTCCAAGTTTGCCATTTTAAGCTGACTGAGAACCGAATTGGCGTACCGCATGGCGTGGCGTAGCTGCACTTCCAAAGACAGCTGAGCGGCCTGGATGGCATCCCGTTCTTGCTCGTTTCCTGTTATTTTCTGGCCGAACCGGGTAGGCTTTCCATCGTCAAATTGAAACCGTTGAAACATCGTCCGCGGGCGCAATCTTGAAGAGGCGGCGATCACTGGCGCAGTCCGTCCTTTGCCCTTGCCCTTACCCTTATTGTAGGCCGTCTGCGCGTGAATCATGTATGCCGCTCCAGTGGAAAACATTTGAAAAAGCAGCTCAGCGACTGTGTTTCGTTCGAGATGCCTCATGCGGATCTTCACGGGACGGCCACACTCGGGATCCTTTCGGCAGCGCACGTCCTGGCAAACTTTAACCTCGCCGTTTTTGCCGGGAGCGGTACATGAGTGCAACGCATCGACACTTGCACACAAAAGCACTCGGAACTTTCCGATCTTCGCCAGTCGCAGGTGTTCCATGATGAAGTTCGGGTGTTCGGAGTCCATTTCATGACCGCAGACCCAACGCTTGAATTGATACTGTGGGAAGATCCGGTTTTCCAGCTGTGGCGACTCTGTTTCGCGTTCTTTCTTGTTGATGACCAGGACCTGCTTGCAATTTTCCACAATGTAAGTGTGAAGGTCTCGCTTGTGTCCCCCTGACAGCGCGCCGGTAAGTGCTCCGCCAGGCAAACATGCATGGAAAAAGCTCCCGCCAAGCATAAAGTCAATGGTTGCCAAATCCACGCCGCGCTTCTCGGCGACATACAAAGGAATCACCCGTGGGCACGTAAACGGAAACTCTGTTCTTTTGTAATCGTTCGGGAGCTGTGGAAAAGTCTGGAGCGGAGGGTCGTGGCGCCGAACCCGGCCCTCGAAGTCCCGCCCCCACAGGTTGCGCACCCGGTCGCCAACACCGTCGCCTATGGGATTCATGTACACGCAACGGCGTAAATTCTCCGAGGTGATTTCGGCCCCAACAGCATTCTCCGGTTCCCACACATACGTTCCGAGGTCCTTTATCTCCCGTATCTCCCCGAGCGCCTCGAGCGGTTCCATCTTGTTCCTTCGTGATTCTTGGTGGGGCAACACTAAGCCAAATCCACCCAAAGCAACAAATTATCCTAGGTAGTACTAGCAAACAAATTCGACTGTATGACAAAACCACTTAAGATTGTACATAAGTGAAAAAAGAGGGCGGTATCAAAATAACGGACCTCCTGATGTGAGAAGATTCAAGTTGAGCAGTTTGGGTTTGCTAAGCAAGTGAGTCAACGACACAACATCAAGTCAAACGATTCACATGTTGTACAACGACGACGACCTGTACACGAACGTGATTATCTTCGGACTGTCAGGGCCGTGACTGACCACGACAACGACAGTGGAACTATGTGCACGACAAGATTTGAGGCTGTTTGCAGTAGATGTCACGACAGTAGTTCTACACGATGTAGTACCCCTTTCTGACTGTGATGTCATGGATGGCATGCACAACAACGACAACGCAAGAACGGGCGTGCGCTGCTTGAATCCATGAGAACTAGTCCCCGTTACTGTTTGTCCTCAGCTGCACACATTGGAAACAAGTGATTGCACCCATAGGCAATATGTGGGCCATACAACTTCGTGGTGGATAAATTTGAAAGTTTATTCGCCTACCTTGAACAAGTTCAAGGAAGTTAAAGAAGCAAATACAAGAATAACATGAAGAGGCGGTCTTGGTTGCTAGTATTGTCGCATATTTCTGAAATAGATACGTCGCGTGGGCTGGGTGGAGGGGGCCGTAGCCATTCGCGAAGTATACACATTTTTTGGTGGGAAACAAAAAATAAAAAAATCGAAATAAAAAAGTGTATGTATCATGGCGTACTAGTACTGGCTTCGAAAAATTACAACGCAGTGAAAAAATCTCTTCGCACTAATCCGGCTTACGGATCTTCATTCGCACGTACTTTATGCATCCATTCGTGTTCCATTTCCCCCTGCGTCAGCACCGGGCTGTTGCTCGGAATTGAAAAAACCTGGTTCGAATCTAAAGTGTACATTTCCGCCGCAGGAACATACTTGTACTCCGAACCTCCAGCTGGTGCACCTCCTCCACTTGGACTGTCATTCATGGCAACACTGGCATCTTCATCATCTTCAGTGTCCGCGGTCACAGCAGCCGCATCACCTCCACCATCCTCTACTGGAACTTTCTGCGACGGGGTAAACCGCACGGCCCGATCCTGTACTTTCGACTGCGGGAACTCTTCCAAAAACCTCTCGAACTGCCCCTGCGCCCCGACGGAGCACAGCTTTTCCCCCTCCTCCGTAAACGATTCGCAGGGCTGCCAACGGAGCAGCGATTTTCCTTCCTCTCCAAGAGAGTAGTGCCATAGCGGCGTAAAGACGCGGCTGGTGCAGCTAGCGTAGGCGGCTTGGGCGGCCGCGGGGGAGGCAAAGAGCGAGGCGGTGTTGGTCGTTTGGTCGGTGTTTATTTCCTTCTGAAGATTTTGATTTGTCGCACTTTGTCCTCCACCTGTGGCCGCAGTCGTGGTTCCACCGGGAAGAGTATGAGTCGCTGCATCTACTACTACTTTTTCGTTATCGCAGAACAGCAGCTCCCCCGGAGATGTTGAGATGCTATCTCCTTGAAAGAGTTCGAAATTGCTGAATGCGAAAGACTCATCAATTGCCTCCTGGTCGATCGTGGCACCGACCTCGATCAGAAGGTCTGGTCGTCCGTGTGCCATCGTGTGGTCGACGTCGATGTAGCAGGAGGCCCAGGGCCTTCCCTCGTCGAACCCCGGCGCGTCAAACCGGCCGTGGTACGGAAACTCTGGGCTCAAATCTTCTAGCCGGGCAAACGCCCAGCCTCCCGCGCCGCAATGGTACAGGGCGTCTGGGTCGTGAACGTTTTTGCTAAGACGGGCCTTCCGCCAGATCTCCGTCCCGTCCACCCGGACAAAACCCTCCTCCGGTCTCAAGTCGTTATCGTAGTTGGAATCCCAACTCATGAGTGCCCAGTACCGCCACTTCAGTATGGAATTCTCAAATGTTACATTGTCATGCAAAAGCACCATCATCATTCTCTTTCTCACGATCAAGCTGCTTCGCATGACAAATTTGCGAAGGTGGGCTAAACCGCGCCTAAATCTGTGCGCAATTTGTAATGCTACAGGCGCAACCTTCCCGCTTTCACTTTTCCAATTCTTGCATCACAACTTTATGCAACAGCTGAGAATGTAACAGTTGAGAACGCCATATTCAGCCGCAGGAATTTGTGACCGTCTTTCAGCCCGGTGATGCGGAGTTGGAGCAGGGTTCTTCCTTCTTGTCCGGCAAACGGACCGTAGACGAGCTGGTTAAACGGACCAGTTCCGTGCTTGCCTTGGCGTGAAACGACCAAGAAATCGCCGGCACGAGGGCGTCTTCCTTTTCTCCGACCTGCCAGCCCCGGTCGCCGCACGCGCGGTGGTGCGCCACCAACGACGAGGTGGTCCCGTCGTGTTCCGGCGCCAACGGCGAGACGACAATCTGACGGGTGGGCGGACCCGGAACTTGTTGCTCCTGAAGACCAGCATTCATTTCAGAAGTGCCCGCCAACTGCCCCGTAGCTGCACCAGACCACTTCAACTTTTGCAAGGCTTGCCCTCGACAACACGCCCCCTTCAGCTCTGTCGTCAACGGCGTACGGCACGTGCCCCCGGTCACGTTCTCCAATGGAGCCGGGTCGCCCTCGATCATTCCGGAAAATTTCGCGTAGCAGCTCGGCCTCTGCATCGTCCCAAAATAAGGCGCCGTGTTGTAGCTCCAGGCGTCGCAGAGCGCGACTTGGTCTTGACAAAACAGCCGGCACTCCTCGGCGGATTTCGCTTGTGGTAAGGCTTCAATATCGCCACCCAGTCTCTCCTGAAAGTCCTCGGTGCAGACTTTCGTCCCCGACAGCTTGTGCACCGGAATGGTGTACACCGGCTCCCAGATGCCAAAATGAAACAAGCACTCCTCGGGAGAGAGCTCGAGGTTGGTCAGCGTCAGAGGGTTACTTTGCGAGCCATCTTGTTGCTGGGCCGAGTTCTTGTCCTCGTTCTTGGAAGTCGTGGTGCTCGCGTGAGAAAAATATTTTTCTTCAACGTCAGGACCAGCCGCTATCGATGGCGGTGCCTGGACCTGGTGGGTCGTTTCTTGCTGCTGAAATTCTGGCTGCTGCTGCTGCTGCGCCTCTCCTGGCGGTGCCTGTGGCTGCTGCGCGTCTCCTGGCGGTGCCTCCGGCTCCTGTTGTGTCTCCTCCGGCTTCTTGGGAAGAGCATCTACTTCTGTGGTCGATCCCGTTTTCTTCATCGCTTCCACCTTCTCGATTTCCCTCTGGAGCTCCAGTTCCTTTTGGTACCACTTCTTCTTGACCCCGCAAAACAAGTTGGACGCGCTGTTGCTTCGATCCGCATTTATTTCCTGGTCTTTCTTGTCTTTGTGAAGCCAGGTCGTTTTCACCTCTGCCGCGTGCTGAATAAACCTGCAAAGAACGATCTGCTTCTGCTCCAACGGCCGTCGTGGATTTTTCTGTTCGTCAGCATTTTTATCATCTTCTCCTTCAATGCCCCCGTTGTTCATTTTCTTGTCATCTCTGTTCACCTGCCATGCCCCCCCGCTGACCACCGCCTCGTATCCGTAGCACAATTCTTCGTCGTGGCAGCTCTTCGCACAACTTGCCTCCGACGCCTCCTGCCAAAAATCACTGGCAATCGCGTAGTTGCCCACGCAGCGCCCGCGCGTGGGATAAAAGTCGCGGAATATCGCCCGATATTCGTCCGCAGTTGTAAACGCGGGTCTTGTCGCAGCAGTTTTTACGGCGCTGCCCCCCGCCGGACTGGCAGCTCCGCCCCCGATACGAGTGGATGAGCTTTGCGCGCTGGAGGATAGTATGGATTGCAAAAATGTCTGGGTCTGGAAGATTAGAACTTGTCATGCAAAATCTAAATGATGCAAAAATCTGTGTTGCGTGAGTGCCAAAAGCTGTCCGCTTTTGACCAAGTTGAGAGGGAGTTTCTCATGCAGGAAAGGCATGATAGAGACCTCAAAGATTCTGTCATGCTGGGTCTCGCATTCCAGACCCCATGGGTCATGGAAAACCTGCATCACAAATCTTGCATTCTTCCAGACCCAGACATTTTTACATTTGATA